AGCTGTTCCTTTTAGGTTATCCCCACATTCTTTACTCCACAAAGGAAGGATGAAAATGTTGTGGGATTTAAGAAGATTTAGATTTCAGTTAGAATAAAGAAAGACTTCCATTTTGTAGTGTAAAAATTTCTACAAGCGACCTGTTATTCCAGCAAAATGACATCCTCCTGGAACATTGTGGAAATAACCACATGCAAAAATGAGGAGCTGTAAGAGTGGTGCTTCACATCTGACATGTGTCCTTGTTGTTCTGGATGCTGTTTTTTGACTCGGGTGCTCCTCGCGCGCTGTGCTACACTCAAACAACACAAGTTTCATCTTGACGGTTTTCTCATTTGTTCATCTGTCTGCTGAGTGTGTGGCACCGCTGCTGTGCGCTTATTAATAATACATCCTCAGTGTCTTTGTAGTGACAAGAGCCCTCAGACCGGTAATGTTGCGAAAGCAGACTAGCTCTGCTGTAACGCTCAAACTGATCAAGAGTTTACACAAAGCTTTTGCCTTCCAGAGAAAAACATCGTAGACATTGTGGACATGAAGGCCACTCTGTTGGTTTGTACAAGCTCTGCAGAGGCAGGAGCTGTGTTTGTGTGAAAAAATACTAAAGTGAATGTGTCTGTGAGTTTTAGCTTTAACAGATAGTTTGGGGATTACACTGCTGCGGTCATAATGCCAAAACGTTTTGTTTCTGTGCATCGTTTTCTCACAGGGGATTCGTTCACGCATTTCCGGTTTGCAGAAGAAAAAGAATGGGAGATGGACCAGCTTGATATCAGTCAGGTAAAATTATATCACCACCGCTCCTTTTTAAAATTGATTTATGGAGTTTTACGTCTTTAAAATACACAGCAGTTACAGTTATAAAGAATATTCCGATTAAGATATCAGATTCATAGTGTTGTTGTAGTACAGTGTTCATGTGCTTAATGTTGGACAAAAGTTCATCCATTTACTATGAAGACTTTGAATCTGATAGTGCTCTCACTCACCTAAACTCTGTAGATACAAACATTTGTTTGCAGTCTGTGTTCTCATTTGTTCTCCAGATGGCAGGGATTGTTTTGGACCTCCCAGCTCTTACCCAGATTCTTCAAGAAGTGCCTTTGCATCAGAAACTCGACCTGGAGCCCGAGCTGATTCAGGCAAGTGTTAGCTGATGCCCAGCACACTGTGGTTGGGTGTTGTTCGGGAGAAAATGCAAATTACGCAAGAAGGAAACAGTTGCTTAGGTAAACTTTAACCACAAATATGTTTATATGGAGGAATTAGGTTTTCTGTGTTCTGTGAACAAAAGATTTTATTTGCAAATCATTCATTCATAGAGCTTTACTGACCTCAGAAATCTTTTTATTTTTATTTTATGAAGCCCTGGGTTTCAGGCTTTAAGATGCTTTGCCAAGCTTGTTGTGCTGCTGTTCATGTGTTCAGCTGCTAGTGGTGGGAGGGGCTTGAAACATGCCTGTCTGCAGGGGTGCTCTGTTTTTGTAGCTGTAACATGTTAGTTAGCAAAAAGTTGCTGCCAGGTTAACTGATTCCTTTTCCTCCTTTTACTGTTTATGCTAAGCTGGCTGATTGTATCCTGGTTGCAATGTATTCATGTATTACATTTTACACAGCATCCCAACTTTTTGGGATTTAGGGTTGCAAGATATAGCATGGAGGCATATCAGGTTAAATTAAGTATATAAAAAAAAAAACTAAAACAGTAGACTGACCTTTTTGTATTTATTGATACATGTCTGGTTATTTTCACCCAGTAGATTAATACACTGTGTTGATTACCTTCTGAGAAAAAAGAAAATATGGCTTCTGTATTTTTGTGTTTTTCTCAGAGACATTCATGACAAGAGCTGTTTTTTTTTGTTTTGTTTTTTTACTTTACCCGATGTTTCAGGTCTCAGCACCAGTAGAGCTGCCCAGTATGACTCTAGCACCTAAACAGGAAGTGCCAAAAATGTCCAAATTCACACCTCCATCCACAGCTTCAAAAAGCCTCAGCATCAGCCAGAAAGTCCCCGTGGATGCAAACCCAGTGGGGGGCTCAGGCTCACAGCTTTCTTCCTCAGCTGCTGCTACTGAGACTCTGGTGGATGATGCTGATGAAGAGCTGGACAACCTGCTCAACTTACAGAAACCAGTGTCAAGTGATGTAGGAAACGAGCCTGTCAGTGGTGCAGAAATGGAGAGCGCTGTTACAGAGAAGGGCAAGTATATTTAATGATAGTCTGTCCCTGCACGTTGAGTGATGTGGGATAGCCTGGGGGAAATGTAGAAGATTAATGTCGCTCTTGTCTTGTCTTGTCTGTGTGGAGAATAGTAAGCTTCAGTTAGCTTAGTGTAAAGAAAGAAATTCATTAATAATATTATACTGTATATTTACTTTGTCATGCACAACATATATCTTTTTGACAGTTGTGTGAGATCATAATCTTTTAACTGGAAAGAGTAAACAAAACATGGCATGCTAGCAGTTTAACCTTAAAAGTGGCCATTGTGAAACTTTGGGACCTAAAGATTCGATAGCTATAGATCTTAATAGAGTTATTATTATTTTTTATTATTTTGGATTGACTAGTTTTTATTTTTATTTCATTTGATATTTTGTTTTGTTTTTTAATTCAGTTTAGTTTCAGCTAATTTGCAGAGTGGATTTTTTTGTTTTTTTATTGTTGAAATTGTTTGGTTTTAGTTTAGATTATTGGGCTCTTTTTAGTTATTATTGTATGACGGTCATGTGTCGTAGGCAACATTTGGAAAAATCAGTACAGGTATTACAAGAAAAACTGCTTTTTGAAAGCATTTGACTCACCGACATCCAGAGTCTCAATAAACAGCCATCAATGGCTCATTAGGCAAGATGTAATAAAATTGTACCCAACTAAAAAATACTAATACTAAGGATCTTTCCTACATATTTTTATTTTAATTAGTTTTTACCCCTCAGCCGTAAAAAACTGATCTCTTATTATCTTTACCCTGCCAGGCGGTCAGGCAACGTGGACCTAAGCATGTAAATACATTTATTTCTTTTTAACAAAAAAAAACAAACAAACAAAAAAAAAAACCCCTACAATTTTAGGATTTCCCCCCCCACACACACGTGGTGTTAGATTAACTACTAGAGAGATAAGATAAGCTACCAAGGATGTTAACTTCCACCTTTTGTGCTGACAAGTTACTTTGGGCAATGTTTAAAGCCTAATGTTAACGCAAAAAAAATTGAAGACTAAGCAGGTTGTTCTTTACATATTGAAAAATATCCAGCTATTTGCAGTAATAGCTGGATATTTATTAAGCAGCAAATTAAGACATTTTCTTGAAAGCAAATTTTTCAGTTGCACTGAACACTTACCGGCTCATAACTCTGAAACAGAGATTCATACCACAGAAGTATTAATTTTTTTAACACTTAGTATTTTAAATATAATAATGTTACTGAGTTTTAGAGACGCTGGATGGTTGTTGATTTTCTGCTTTGCATGATTGCAATATTCACATGTGGTGTAATTAAAGCACAGATAATAAAGTTAAAATTACTTAGCAGAAGGTAAGTTTAGAGGAAAGACTAAAAATATGTCTCCCATCATGTTATTAACCTGCAGAATGTGAGGAAGTGAAAGACGTGACAGCAAAGCCAATAGAAGAGAAGATGATGGAGGTGGTGAAGGACAAAGACATCGCACCTCCACAGTCTGCGCCCAGCAAACAGGAAATGACTGAGGAAGACCTGGAGGACTGGCTCGACAGCATGATCTCCTGACCCTCAGGGAACGTGGTCATGGCAGTTCAATCGCTTCAACTTCCATCCTTTGAAAAATTACGTCCACCTGGAAGTTTATGATGCTAAAGTTTGATGCTTCCTCGTTTCACACGGACCTGCCCCTCCCCCCGTGCTGTAAGAGAGGCAATATGTTTTGTTTTGGAGGTGTAAAGGTTGGGACAGTACATCTCGAACATTTGTGAGTGTATGTCAAAACGTTCCTGGAGCACACCCTGTTTCAGAGAGAATTCTCTGTTCCCTGTGAAAGTTTTGACTCTGGAGTGTTTTGCTTCAGAGGATTGGTGACAGACGGGTAGTGAAAGAGGTCACAGACGACACGTTTGGTTCACTGCGTCACTTACTTTATTCATTTTCTTCCCCTCATCAAAAAAGAAGTGCAGTTTACCAAAGCTACTACATACATATAAATGGCCAGACAAGAGCGGGTAACCAGTTTGTCGTCAATAAATTCTCAACCCAAGTTTTGCTGTTTAATTGTCCGTTTGTTGTGAGGTTCCTCTACTGTAGAAACAAGTGCAGGTGGGCAGGACACCACAGTTCAGGAACAAAACCAAACTAAGCAACATTTACACAAGGATCATCTAGATATTATACAACAAATATTTCTTTTTTTCTTTTTTTTTTTTAAATGTAAAAGCCCAAAACTAGCTTTACCTAAATTTGCTTATAGCTAATCCAGAACAGAGCACTGCTTGTGTTAGGAGGGGCAAAAATGATATTTTTTCTCTTTTGCATAGTTTTTTTTTTTTCCATAAGGCACATCGGCACTTGATAAACACCTAAAGTGAGAGTTGTCTCTGGTCCTGGAAGAACCATCTTCATGTCATCAGACAGGTTTGAACCAGCTTTGAAAGGCAAATCAGGTCTCACTCTTTGGATGTTAACTAGATCATTACTAGCAGCACACATCCATTCACTTGTGGTTTGGGTAGGAAGTGACAGTAACATCCTGGCGCTAATCTAGAAATTGTGCATATTCCGACATTCAGTTGTCATGCTGTAACCCTTCACAATTATCAGATGTCTACAAACAACAAATTGTGCAGCAGGTTGGGGTTAAGCAAGTGAAAAAAGGCAATGTGAATCAGAATTAAAAGAATTATTTGCATAAAAGAGGCGTAGTGGCAGGAGACTATTTCAGTAACAACGAAGAACACGCAAACCCGAAATGTCCAATCGTCAGTTGTAAATCTTAGAGTCGTTATGTTTTGAGTTTGTGTCAGAATTCAGATTTTTTTTTTTTCCTCTTTACATTTTTCGACACTATGACGGTGTGTGTTCTGGTAACAGGGTGAAGTCAAGTTCAATGTCTTTTTTCCAGGTAGAAGCAAAGTGGAGATTGGGGTTCAGAGCAGCAGACGAGGCGACCCGCTCTAACCCAGCTGGTCCTCATATTGCTTACGGAAGCAGTCTCCAGTGGGGAAGAAGTCCCAGCATCTCTCCTGGTACATCTTCCACACGTATGACTCCTGAAAAGGGAAGGGAATGATTTAAAGGGTCCACGGCTGCACATAGTTTTGGTTATACTCATTCACAGATCTTTTTGTACTGTTCGGTCTTACTGACCTCTGTCCTCAGAAAACTGTTAGGGCCAGATTTACCTACAGTCTGCGTCATCACAAAAACCTCCTTTGGCTTTAAGAAGCTACTGTCGTGCTTTTACTAAAGAGGCGCAGAGTCACCTTTGCAAGTCAAAGACGTGGACACAGGTGTTTCTGTGGCTTGTGTTATTGCATGCATGCCAACGTGGAAAAAAAGCACATCTTATTTTGAACTTGATGTGGTTGTGATAGTTGCCGCAAGGACTGTTCATTTATTTGAAATGAGAATGGGAGAGTGGGAGAGACTGGGTGCGTATCTTGCACAGGTGGATGCCTCAGAGCTCGGAGTGCAGTGCCAGAATTTCTCCTGGAACTCTGGGTCCCACATGAAATGGATTAACTAATAATCCCAATACAAGACACATAGATGCATCTTGTTTTAGAGGGAGTGGAGCAGTTTTCAGTGCTTTAGGCTTGGTCACGTTTCCACATAGAGATCGATATATTATACAGACATCTCTGTTAGTCTTTTATCAACAGTGTATACATTTTTTAGACTCCTATATACTCCTACACACCATATTGAAGTATTAATATATTAAAGTGTGTTAGTTTGATTAATGTCTAAATGTTATGATATGTAATATTGACTATAGTAATTATCTACAGCAGCGGTCCCCAAGCTTTTTTGTGCCACGGACCGGTTTATGCCCGACAATATTTTCACGGACCGGCCTTTAAGGTGTCGCGGATAAATACAACAAAATAAAACTAGTACCGGTACCGAAAAAAGATATATTCATAACACATGTGAAAAGACCCAGGAAAACAGAGTTAACGATCAAAACGATAACAATAACGCTGAAAACCCTGAAAACCATACATTTCACACCTGAGCCTCTACTCTCGTGGCCCGGTACCAAACGACTCACGGACCGGTACCGGTCCGAGGCCCGGGGATTTGGGACCGCTGATCTACAGTGTCACACCGCATGCAGAAAATAAAAGCGATGTGCATTAAGCCACATGAACACATATCTAATTTGCCAATCACATGGCAATGACTCAGCAGACAGGGTCAAGACAATTTCTGCTGCAATATTTCGATACTGGTCAGAATTTAGCATAAACAATGTGAAAGTATCCACCCTGTCTCATATCAGTGGGTCAGCCTGATGTTGATGGCTTAATAGTGTGGGAGATATTTTCTTAACACACTTTGGGCCCCTTAAACCAACTAATTTGACCACCACAGCATGCCAGAGTATTAGTGTTAACTCCGTTCCCCCCAATGTGTCACTGACCACAGTGTACTAGTCTTCTAATGGCTGCTTCTAACAGCACATCATGCCATGTCTCAACGTCATCCATCCATCCATCCATCTTCATCCGCTTATCCGAGGTCGGGTCGCGGGGGTAGCAGCCTAAGCAAAGAGGTCCAGACCTCCCTCTCCCCAGCCACCTCCTCCAGCTTGTCCGGGGGAATACCAAGGCGTTCCCAGGCCAGCCGAGAGATATAATCTCTCCAGCGTGTCCTGGGTCTGCCCCGGGGCCTCCTCCCGGTGGGACATGCCTGGAACACCTCGCCCAGGAGGCGCCCAGGGGGCATCCTTGCCAGATGCCCGAACCACCTCAGCTGGCTCCTTTCGATGTGGAGCAGCAGCTGCTCTACTCTGAGCCCCTCCCGGATGGCCGAACTTCTCACCCTATCTCTAAGGGAGAGGCCAGCCACCCTTCGGAGGAAGCTCATTTCTGCCGCTTGTATCCGCGATCTCGTTCTTTCGGTCACTACCCGCTCAAAATGCTCAACGTCATTTTGAGCTGATTTCTTGAATGTAACAATGAGTCTAATGTATCAGGTCTCAATCTAATCCGGAACTGAGAATTTGAGATTCATGTCATGGGCATGTAGCTGATGCCATCAAGTCAATATGGAACAAAATCTGTTGGCAAAGGAGGGTCCAACCTGGTAATAATGGATTGGATTTATATAGCGCTTTTCAAGGCACCCCAAAGCGCTTTACAATGCCACTATTCATTCACTCTCGCATTCACACACTGGTAGAGGCCCTGGGGCAGACTGACAGAAGCGAGGCTGCCATATCGCGCCATCGGCCCCTCTGGCCAACACCAGTAGGCAAGTAGGGTAAAGTGTCTTGCCCAAGGACACAACGACCAGGACAGAGAGCCCGGGGATCGAACCGGCGACCTTCCGGTTACAGATGCGCTTCCCAACCCCCTGAGCCACTATCAACGTGTACCTAATAAATAGTCTGTGTTCATTGTTATAACAGCAGATCGGTCATTACGCAGATTACATTTTTATACAGTAGAACAGGATCATGACGCAGCCTTCCTCTTGATGAATCCTGTGCGCCACCTGAGTCTCAGACCTCAGGACCAAATGCAGGCGGCAGTAATTTCTAGCAGAAGATTTCGCCCTTATATGAAAGACGTTCAGTTTGTCTTATTTATTTATTTCTTCTTTTTAAGAGAGGAACGCGTGTAAAATCTGTGTTTATGCAGTACTTTTGTTAGCACATTAGTCACTCGCTCATGCTCCCTCATCAGGTCTGTCTGTTCTTGGCCCATGAATAGACTGACTGCATTCTTGTTTATAAATCGGTGGCTTGTAAGCAGATTAGCCTCAGAACTTTTCCTTCCCATCATTACGTTTTTGCAATTGCACTATCATGGTAATAGGCCTTGCATAGTAAATCTGGCCCTTTGTGTCACAAATTTCAGATGGTCTGACTGCAAACGATAGAACACTTGTTTAGTTGCATTAATACTATGATGATATATGATGTTGTGAAATAGTTTCATCCCATCTGCAGTGACTATATATCCCGTCAGTAGACAGATTAAGGATGTAGCTCAACGGCATGTCAGTGATTACACTGTTTTTGTGACTTATTCACTCCTAGTAGCTGAATGCGGTCCTTTGCAGCTTAAAGGAATAACAACTGCAAGCTTTCTATTTCTTTGCTAAATTTGTATCTTAAGAAAAAGTACACGAACATCAAACAGAAAACCAAGTTGAATCTCAGGTGCACAACAATAACAACTTAATATCAGAAGTCAAAGAAAGCCCACGCATTGCTTCTTTCTCCAGCAAAGCTGTACCTTGTGCAACATTTCAACCCACTTGATATGTTGCATAAGTAAACCTACTGAAGTTAGAGTCTGTTACATTCCAGTTTTTCCTTTTGTTCTTTTGAGATTGGTCACAGACGGCAGATTATGCATATCGTGTTTAAAATGACCAAATACTACAGACTGGTGTTCGCTCACATACCTGACCCGTATGCTCAGTCTCATCCTTGTTAATCAGATACATCAGGAAGAACCTGCAGACAGGAGGCACAAGTGTTAAAGGGGGAAAACTTCAGTCACATTACGTTTGGTCATATTTCTGTACTTACAGGTAGTTGGCTAGGTTGTGTTCTTGTAAGGTGTGAGTTTCAAAGCCATGAGGCGTCCGGTCAAAGTAATCATTCCCAATTCCACAGATGAAACATTTGGTCTGGAAGACAAATGAGTGGGGATTGAAAATTAGTGATGACTGTCATCATCCTATTTGAACCTGCCAATTAGATTTCTGCTAATCGGTTTTTTTCTTGTGAAATATGTTAAGGAAAAAGAACAATAATTTGAATTATTGAAAGCTAAAATGGAAACAAATGCACAATAGATGCAAAACAAGAAAAAAGTTTGCCATACATTCTGGTCAAGTCACCTTATCAACATTTAAAAACAACAAGTATTGACCAAAGTGTCGTACAACTAAGAGAATAAAACAATTGGAGCAATAAAACATTATATTACAGACAAATAGGAGAAAAATGTCTAAATTAATTATTGCCTTTGTAATATTTATTCTCAGCACATTTATTTATTTGTGCCAGTTTTGTTCCTCTGCACAGTGTGGCTCACAGGAATAGACAATTAATTAGACAATTAAGTTAGTCTATCCCACAAGGCCACAAACTAACTAATGAAGAAAACACTCAAAAACAATTCGAGTTGGATTGACTGACTACAGGATTATTACATCACCAGCAGTGTAGTGACCAGAGACTGTTTAAAGTCAATGATATTTGTCAACTTCACGCAACGATGGGTGAAATAATCACCGGTGATTAAAAGTCAAGTTAAACTTTTCTCTATTTTTAGACAAACAATTGAACCACCAATGAGAACACAGGATTCCGGTCATTAAAGTTATGATGGGGTTGTAAAAGCATTAGAGGACAAACAGGTATCAAAGGTTTGTTTGCCACCAACCATCAGCTAAAGAGCGATGGAGGCAAATAAATTGCTTCCTGTGTTCATGCTCCTTAACTCACATAAAGCAGGAAGGGAATACTGTCACTTGCTGAAGCAACAATATAGCTGGCAACAGACAGCTTGGTTAGAGCAGAGTCTTACCTCCATGTCTTCTTTCACCTGCTCCTGTTGGTCTCTCAGCTCACCAAAGGCATCAATGATTAAACCTGAAGAAAAGTGCAATTCTTTGTTAGAGGAGCATGAGAAGAAAACAAAGACCTGTGTGGTTTTTAAGTTAAACGCAGATAATGAGAAATAGTTTCACGTACCCTGGATGATGGCCAGCAGGATGACGATGACAAAGAAGAAGAAGGTGATGTCGAACAGGATGCGGTAGAGCTCGTATGGGTCTCCAGCTGGGTCCTCTAACTCATCTCCAATACCTCCTCCAGCTCTCACACCCACGTACATGTGGAACATATAGCACTACAGAGGGGCGGAAACAGGCATTAAAGGAAGCTACACCTCATTCAGTGTTGGCTGGGAAGTATGAAAGTGGAAACTTCTCTTTTTTCATTCTATATTTCAAACTACAAAACATGGCTGAAGACTGAGTGTCACTGGAGATGCAGCTGGAGGTTCTGAACCATCTATTAGAGTAAGGTTAAGAAAAAGGAGTCATCAAGGTCTACGTTTTACAAAAGATTATAAAAAATCGTTTGTAAGCTGTTACTGTACGTCCAGTATAAAGACTCTATTTAGAGGCTTCATTTGTAGAAACATTAACTAGGAAATAATTTATAAAAGATAAGAAAATGCTGTCCAATAGACACCTTCTACCTCTGGACCCTGAACAAGGCTAAGAGGCAAACATGTTCAAGTCAACCATTCAAACTAAAAGCCCCATGTTTTTTTTTCTTTCAGCTCAAAATGTGTCCTTGCTGAGGAATGAAGTCTTTCATTTTCACTACCACAAAAGAAAGGTATTTTTCAATTTTCAGCCACTTTCACATGAATAGGCACCGGAGGTGGTCAGACATACCGTCATCATATCGTCGCACTTCATGTCGGGCTCGTCTTCATCCTCGCTCTTATTGTAAAACTTCCTGAAGAAGTTGAAGGCCACCACGGTGTAGAGATAGACGACCACAGCCAGCAAACCCACAGTCAGCACGAGCTGAAAGGAGAGGAGACTCATTTTAATTGGATACATTTTATCTGAAATTCTTTTAATCTCAGTGACGATTAGAGGCAACAATAGAGGAGACAGACTCGTCTCAGAGGCACAATTGGGGCCTTCTTTTTGTTTGACTGTAAATTTTGAGAGTAATTTTTGCAGTTTCTGTCAGACTGTAGTAAAGTGTCAATGCTACTGTGGGTTTCTTTTTTTTTTCTCAAATAAAGTTCTGCACTAAAGTACTTTCTTAGCTTTCATCAGTATTCAGACTTTCAAGACCTTCAGAAGTGCAAGACCCAAGGTTTGTGCCATCACTCATCATCTTTCCCCGTTGATGCTTTGCATATGTATACCATCTGTTTTATATACTGTCATTCAGTCCAACTGTCGAAACTGTTGAAAAGAAGCAAACTTTAACTCCAGTCTGACATATTTCATAGTGTTAATAGGTTCGTGCCCTGTCTTCCTACATTAGACAAAAATGAAGCCCTAACAAGCCTTGGCAACTAAATGCCTGAGCTGATGAGCCGACAGAATCAGACCATCATGTTCTGCAGAAGGCTTCGTTGAACATCAAGTAAAGAGACAAACAGCAACAATAATAAAAAAAACAAAAACATTATACTGTCATCCATCTCTTTGCTCATTTAGCAGTTAGTTTTTAGGCACCTCCTGACAGCTTTTGGAGTCAGTAGGAATGGCCTATTCCTGAAAAATCTGCATGAATGTTCCAACAACCTCAAAATAAAAGCAAAATCTTGTGTCCTTAACTGTTTTATGTCTTTTTTATTTATTTCTCATGACTGTTTATCTAATATTCCATGGAGCAGATTTCTGAGCCATTCCTTGTTTGTATTATTTTCATGATCTGATTATATTTATATTCAGTATGAGTCACGATGCTAGTTCTTTCATCCCTGTTATGTATCATAGACTCGGACAAAGATTGTTTGCTGAAACAAATACATTTTATACAGTTTTGAAACTTTTTAAAGATGAGCCAAAAATGCACCAGGAATAATTTCTTTCATTGTTTGATTTCAAGCGAGTTGAACGCTTGTATTGTGCGATTGTTGCTTTTCCTTGAACTCTGGCTCCCTCTGCTGGTAAAACTACTTGCCTGCTTGCCATTGTGAGTAACAGATGACAGGATGGTGCGAAGGGTCTTGAATCCCATGGCGATGTCCAGCAGATGAGCAGCAAAGAAGAAGTTGTTGAAGTGTCCAAAAATAGACATGGTGGTGTACCAAATGAGATACAGGAAAGACTGGAGGAGGAAAAGGTAAATATTTTTTTATGAGGCTCTTTTTGAACATCACACTGATGGTAGATTTTATGTGGACTTAAACTTACATTGTCAGTCAAGACCACGCCCAGTTTCCAGATGTGGTACTTTGTATCAATGGAGCTCAGCCTGTTGATGACAAAGTGAGAGGCGTTTGTGTTTACATATATATTTAAACTCATCAACAAAAACTGAGTTTGTACTTGGTCAAGTCATGTTAATAGAGATAGATAACAGAGTAGGTACAGTTTTGTAGTTTCTGTGGCAGTTCTTGCCAACGACCAGGTGCATCTCTTCAAAATTGTTTCATCTCTAGTCAAGGAGAGTCTTAAAAACCCTCCTTGACTGTACTCTATTACAACATTGGAGTCACGTAATGTAATATATAAATGTGTTTACTGCATGCGCATCTCTGAAGGAGGAATAAGAAAACAGGAGGTGTGTTCTCACCAGGATACCAGGGACGCTTCTTTCTCAACAGTTTCCACTGTGGGGTCAAAGTCCAAAGCGCTCTTATCTAGGCCTAAAAGCTCAGCAATGCGTTCTGCTCCATAGAGATCACCATATTTGTTAATAACCTGCACATATAGAGGAGCACAGGAGAGAACAGGTTCATTAGTTAACTTTAACTAGCAATGGAAAAAAAACAAAAACTGAATGGCATGCAACTAACTGTGTAGTATCTAATGTAATGCACAACTGCCACCAGAGGGTGGCGTTAATGTATCTATAAGCTGTTCGCCAACCACCATTAGAGGCTCTTCCTACACCTCCAGCTCCATATTTTATTCTTAAGTTGTTTCGAGGGCAGCTTTGCATGTTTCACAGTTCAAAACTATCTTTATTTATCTTATTTAAAAGTCAACACATACATAGTCATCTGACAGTGGGTGGGATGGGGAACAATCTTAGAATAACAGGCGAATAGCTCCCAACAAATCATGAACTGTATTTTTGCTTAAAGTGGCTTTCTATTACTCCAAGCTGTGGGTAAGAAAGTCTAAAGTGTTTGAGAGTTTGTCTAGTATTTCAGTTTAGAGAAAGTGACACTAGTCACCCTTAAAACACAAGTACCCTCGGGGGATTTTGTAATTTAGAAAAACAAATATGTGTTTTTTCCATATTCAGTGTGAGCTACACCGACATTAGTCTAATCGCGCTAAAGGGTCAAGCTTAGAATATAATACAGCCTGCAAACCAGCTTCCCTGACATCGAAGATTAAGCCTAGTCCCAAACTAAGAAGAAAATTTAAAAAAAATCATTCAAAACTAGCATGAAAAGGTTTTCAATTTAAGAATAGGCTTAATCCCACTTTAATCCAGGAAAATGGTCATCTCATTCCTCCACACTCACCTTGCGCTTGATAAATTTGTCCCAGTAGTTGTTTGGGAAGGATCTGTAATGGAAAGTGAACAACAGAGACTCAGTTCACCTGTTGTAATATTGTCTAATATTTAACCCTAATATCAGATATTTAATGATCAGACAATTAACAAATGGAGACATAAATGAGAATCAGAAATCCATCTGGAATTGGTTTATTTATCAATCAATCTGGGCTCAATCTCCGGTTCATCCAGTCCATGTGTTAAAGCATCCTCGGGCAAAATACTGAAAACCAAGTCGCACCCAATGCGTTTATCGGAGTGGGAAAATTTAGTGCTTGGGATAGATAAAAGCCTGGTATGAATATTTATGTGACTGGGTGAAGAAGACAGTAGAAAGCACTTTGTGTGCTATAAAGGTAACAGTCTGACCTCCAAAAGTTGATTCTGTTCATCTGGAAAACGCTACGTCCATATGAACATATATTATACTATTTTTAAACTAGATAATTTCAAACAAAATCCAAACCACATTTTTAACAAGGCCACAAACTCACGGGGTGTTGATGACAAGTCGATCCCACTGGCCTTTGATATCATCGTCAGATGGCTGCTCAGTGATGTACAGCCCATCAAATTCAAGCTTTCTGGCAATTTCCTTCTCCCTCTTAAAAACCACCAAAGGAACCTGAAATCAAAACATTGGGACAGTAAGACTGCATCTTTTAGAAAGTGACCATTTTCAGCCAAACAAAGGCATTCCCCACCTTCAGGCAGTAGTACCCGACCAGGCAGACGAGCGAGATGACGGTGTGGAATATTGCCAAGAAGCGCAGCGTTGGTAACATGTAGCCGGTGCTCTCCTGAAGCACAAACTCATCCATGTCAAAGAACGTGTTCTCGTCATCCTCTTCGTCAGCACCCCAGCGGTTTTCATCATCAGTTTCTTCATCACTTTCACCAGTGACCTGAAGCGCAAAAAATAACTTGTACACTCACATAATGAATATATTGGGACATTTTTACCAGATGTTTCCAGCTTTATCTTTGCATTTTGACTTCTATGATCATTGGGAACCCCTCCACTGACATGAAGCTTTTCAGGAGTTATTGATTGATGTCTCTCTGCTACAACACAGCACTCAACACGTTGCTGTTTTAAAGGCTGTCTAAACAGACTTTTTTATGACAGTTCTGGTCAAAGTTTTAATGACTTGTTTTAGACTTCCTTGTTTTGTGTTTCTTATTTAAGTGGCAGCGCAAATTCACTTGTGATATTCATGTCATGTCACCTTTTGTCACTTTTCAGTTTTATGGAAAATCTGCGCTCCACTTTGACTGAAACTTTAACGCTTGAGTTACCTTGTAGAAGAGCAGAATGAAGTTGATGGCAAAACACACAAACAGCGCCAGGAAGCGGAGGTTATAGAAGTTACGAGCCAGGTAGTTCTGTGAGGAAAGAAGTTTCACAGTAAGACTAACTATTGATAGCTTTCAAAGTGTGCCCACATTTTAGAGATAACTGCATAAGGAATGAAACCAAATATGATGACTTACCAGCGTCTTGTTCAGATAGACATCCAGAACTGCAAAAATACTGGACATGAACGCAGGTGCTGGCTCTTTAGGCTGACTTGACCTGGTCTTGGGCTTCTCCTCTGTCACTGGCTCCTTAGCCTCTTCCTCCTTTGGTTTATCCTCCTTCTCTTGGTTCTCTGTACTGTATTTATCATTTTTTATTTGCTTTTTAAGTTAATTTTATTTTGATTGCAATTACTTTTAATTTCACTTAGTGTTACTCACTCTGCTTTTTCTGGTTCGTTCTCAGGGGTTTCAACCTTCTTGGCAGCAGCTTTCTGCAAAAAACAAACACAAAAAAAACATTTATATAAGATGAGAGGATGGATGGAAGGGGAAATTAAAGGCAGATATCTAAATTGTGTTTGTGACTATGGACCTTCTTATGATCAGCGGAGGGCTCAGCACTCAGCTCGCAAACATCCCCCAGGCCTGGCTCCACATGTTTTCCTCCTTCTTTTTTAGGCGCGTTCAGCATCTCCATCATCATGTCAACCTCTACAACGTCCCCTGTTGGTGCCATGGCTATGTCCAGGTTTCCTAATGATTCTATAGCCTCCACTTTCTCTCCCTCTATCACATCTCCGTGGATGCCGAACTGAGTCGGGTCAGGCATGTTTCCGAGGATGTCCGTCACCTTTATGTTCTTGGCTCCCTCGACTAAACCTCCACCAAACATGGAGGACCAAATGACGTGGAAGAAACCAAAGATGAGGCTGTAGATACCCTTAAAAAACCCAGTGAACAGCATCCAGAAGAAGGCAAAGAAGCCTGTGATTATCTCCTTGATGCTCAGCTTCTTGAGTTTCTTCAACTTCTTGCGCATGTTTTTAATGGAAAACATCTGGCGGACGTGTGCAATCTTGCTCTTGACTGAGCGACATGCGGTGGTGAAGGCAGAGGCAGACTCCAGGGCGTGCTCTTCCTCTGCAGTCAGCTCTTCCAGGATGCTGTGTCCATCTTCCTCTTCGTCCTCTTCGGGCTGTTCAACCACTTCTGGCTCAGAGATCTGTGAGGCCAGCTGCATCTCAAATATGGTGTCCTCGCAGAAATTCACAAACATCTCCATCTTCTCGCTCTCTCCACCCTCGTTCACCACGTCAAAGATGAACTGACGCTTGGATTCTTTCACCTGCGGCTTTTCCCACTGCTCGCGGCTCGACTCGCTGATCTCAAAGTAAACCCTCTCGATTCGCTTTGCGCTGCCCATGATTTCAATACGACCCAGGTAAGGCTCAAAGTAACTAAGCACACTTTCAGCCAGATCTAAGAAAGTGGCAAGTCGGGAGTCATGCGGCATGTGTTCAGACAGGTTGGTCAAAAGGACTGCCACGTTGAAACCGATGTCTTTGGCTGGCTCGTGGAACCGCTCCACAAACTCCTTGTAGTTGAACATGTCATTCTCGTCCGCCTCTACACACGAGAGCAAGAATTCGATCTCAGACTGGCTGTACTGCTTCTGGCTCTCCATGGACTTCTGGAACTCCTTCTTAGAAATGATGCCTTTACACTCAGGGTCATACTCCTTGAAGTTGTCAGAGGTCGTGAGATCCTTCAATTTCAGGAACATGTCGAAGAACTTGAGAATCATCTCCACATTGCTGGAAGACTCCACCAGGGTGTCAACCATCTGCTTTCCAATTGTTCCATTAACCACATTACCTGGGAAGTAAGCACACATTTTATAATCATACACAAAGACAATGACATATGTACTCAAAAGACAACTTTTTTGTACATGTGTATTTAGTCTTTAAAGCCCAATTATTTTTTTCTGTTTTTGGAATTTTCTCCAAAATTACATTAAAACTTCAGGCTCTTACCCTCAAGCAGAGACAGCAGCATGACCACCATGTCTTTCTGTAAGTCCATCAGTTCTTTCAGCAGCTCAATTTGACTGGCATCCTACAAGTACATGGTCAACTATCATTCAGTGGTTTGTCTTAAGCAATTAGCCATTTGCACTCAATGTTTGGTGTTATGGCATATGTAAGTATCATAATAAGAAATGACATGTTTTCTGCTACAAAACAAACTACATGCTGTGGCTGCAATGCTCTACTTAGCGATGCACCTCCTCACAGAAATGAGAAAGTCTATTAGCCTGTTACAATTGTACAAGTTGCATCATACCTGAGACAGCTTCATCTGCATGTTGGCGAAAACATGCAAGAAGCCCACCACTGCATCCCACAGTCTGCTGTGTGCTAAACTCTGCTGGTTCCCAATACATGGACCCTGCAGGAAAAAAATACAGTGAAGAAAAAACATCATGAAATATTTTAATCCCGACTTGACAAACTCAACAGTGCTGAGCGAGAGATCAGCATCTTACCTGGATGTACTCAGTCAGCGAGTTAAATATCTGCTTTGCTACAGATAACGCTTTGGAAAAGTTTCGCTTTCCAGTTTCATCAATTACTTCTTTGCCAGAGTAGTACCAGTAGAAGTCACTGATAGATTCCTGAAGGAGAACCACAGTGAGAAACAGGTTAAACAAACGCAATAAAGATGGCGACGATCATACTAAAGATGGATCCAGCCCTCAGTTTTGTGCTTTAATCACCTGAAGACGGAGCAGATAGTCCACAGTGCTGATAATGATGTTGACTGTGGTTGTGTTTCCAGTTTGGGTTCTCAGAAAATTCTGGAAATCTGAAAGATGAACAAATATTCTCAACCCCTCGATGCTTTTTTGTAAAACCGGTGCAATAAACTAAACTTGTGCAAACAAACTCTTGCGTTTCCGATGAAAACGTGCATTTGGAATAAACTCAAAGAGGGCCTCACCTCCATTGTGGCCCTCGCACAGAAGTTGCAAAAACCGGAAAAGATCTTTAGTAAACTCATCATTCTGTAGCACCTTGGAGCCTTGAGAGGAAATATTTTGGTGAACACAGCTGAAACTCTGCAATACTTACTGGTAACACTTCATATTGTAGTCCTTGTAATAAGTGTTAGTTAACAGCAGTAAGGCTCTTATAAGTCCTCCTTAAGATGTTAATAAGGTGTTATATACATAGCATACTAAACAATAACATATAATAATGTATTATAAACTATGAACTTAATAGCCAACTATGTTTTCTTTGCAACTATTGCATTTAATGTGAGAACAATGGCTTACAAGGTTAGTAAATATATTATTATTAACTTATTAATAATGCTTTTCATAGCTCTGTCTTTCTGTCCACTATGTTCTTAATAAATTAGACATAAAATAATAAAAGCTAGCTTAAAAAAAAACAACGCATACACTGTAAAAGGTGGTTAATTTGGGTTGCATAATGTTAATAATCATTCTGTCAGGAGTTACAAGCATCTTATTATACATTAACTAACACTTAATACAAGAACCTTATTATAAAGCATTACCTTTTTATTTCAACATGAGAAGGAATAATAACAATAATACTAATAATATGTGAATCTCCCTTCAAAAGCAATTAATATGACGCAAGCAGGACAGGTTTCATGTTCCAAACATTTTGAAGTCCAGGGCCTTTAGATTGCAGATTCAAAACTGAATCCAAAGTGCTTTTTTTTTTTTGTAAAAATGCTCTTTCCTTAAACAACAGTGAAACACTAGGACATTTCCATAAGCTGGAGGAAGCCTGATAACTTTCACATGCAGGCCATGACTGGGCCTGACAAAGAGCGGACAGACGGGATTACCTAATTCACTTTAAAAATCAGCTAGTCAACAGAGCTATATGAAATGAGCACAGTACAGTTCTTTAAGCATATAAAACCATGTGAAAGTTAAACATATGTATCATAACCAGCTTTGTGAAATAGGCCCCAAGTAGAAAGCAAGACAAAGCTTTTTAAGGCTGTGGAATGATCCACAGACCTTCAAGTCAAACCCTTTGGAAGTGGCACTGATAGCCTTAGACTGACATATTTGAGCATCAGTAATAGGATTTGCATTAGTAAATGTTAACATGAAGGGAATGGGAACAAATATCACAGAGAAGGACAGTCAGTGGATTCTGAAGATCCACTTTCTGTGTACTCTAACAGTTGGCATGCACAGTGTCTCCCTACAGGCATCTGGGGAAGGGCAGGGCTGGGTACCATATAAAGCAAGGAGTATGGACCACAGATATGGAGGGGACATTCAGGGTGAAAGCATAGCCATATCAGCATGATCTAAATTTGCTATTTACCCCGCTCAGTGTGGACTGCCATCGATGGGTTTTTAAAATGACAGGAAGGAGACGAACAATACACGAAGACATAAGCAAAAAGAGAGGACATTGAGTTACAATACCAAGAGATATGAATATATCAGCTACTAGTGAAAAACAAAGACATGCAGTTAAAAAGAAATTTGTTTTCTGACGGGGAGAAAGGAAAAAAATAAAAATCATAGGCCTGGGTTATTTCTATGTACCATCTAATAAGATGAGAACCAAATAAGAATTCAGTCATGGTGAAAAGTTTGTAACGTTAACAGACACGAGTAGTAACAGTGAATTGTTAAACACAGAACTCAGTGGAAATGTTTAGCAGAGAACTGAATGATGAACAAACAGACGTTGTTTGATGTGAGAAGCATCAAGTGAAGAGTGCTTTTGTTGGAAGTTAGAGAGAGATGGTAGGTCTTGTTTTAATGCTGGACCATGTCCTCTAAGACTAAATATTTTTATTTAACCTAACCTTCATTAAGAAACCCATACAGTAACCCAATATAATCCCATATCTTCCACTTACTTGTACTTTAATTACTGCAAAAAAAGACATTAAAGACACCACACTGACAAGCAGCAAACTATTTCTATTAATCAAAATTTACATCCATAGCAATGAAATTTTGATTTCAAAGGCCATACAGAAACTATGAATTAGCATTAATTAAGAGCTTTCAATAGATGCTGATGTTAAAGTTGGCATGGTTCAGCATTAGTTCATTGAGGGGTGGGGAAGGGTATAATCTTCTGTTGGGTGTAATCAAGGATAATATCAGGTGTTTCAGCAGCAGGCGTCTACTCTGAGAACCTCAAGAGAAACCGTTTGAAAGAGAAAACAAAGTAGATGTCACACAATGCATCTAATGAAAGTCCACTTCACTTACTAGAACCTTCCTCTGTCACCATGCCGAGTCCTTCTGCTTTGTTCTGTCTCTCAAATGCATTCAAGTCCAGGACACTAGGAGAAGAACCTCAAAATCAAATATGAGCATATGAATCATGCGTTTGTTTCCAGGAAGAATAATATCATAGTACCGACCTGCAGGACTGCATTAGTCCTGAAAGACTCTTGAAAAAGCCTGCATCTCTTTTTTCTTTCAAGTAATCGAGCATTTTCTGCGATGGGTGAAGTAAAGCATTACAGTCTTGTCAAAAAAATGAAATGTGAAATTAAAGTCATAAACTGGCGGTATGCACACACAGTGCAGAATGACCTCACCTGCTGAACTTGCACGTTGCCTCCATTTAGGATGGAGATGCCCAGTTTGAGGGTGCAGGTCACCATGGGGCCCAGACGACCTGATAGCAAAAATTTAAGATAAAAAACAAAAAGCAGCCAGTTAAGGCAATTCATAATCTCTACAAACAAATACAAGCACGCACTTCTCTAAATATAGTTACAAAGTGCTTTACAGATCACAAACAGGTAAAAATAAGGCATGAAAAACTTAAATGGAGAAGACAAGGAGGACAACTTAGACCTCAGACGATTAAGAGCAACCATTTTCTGCTGTGACACTGCTTCGGACACAACAGTAAATCAGCTGCGTAGCTGAGTGAGAAACAGATCATTACCTTTACTGGAGCTGATCATCTGCAGCACCATTTCAGCAGCGCCACGAGCGTGCAGCCTCGCCTGCTGATAAAGGATCTTCTGCTTTTCCATCTCCTTCTCCTGAGGGACGAACACACACATACAGTAATGAGGAAAGCTACATTTGAAGGAGACTGACCACCTTTGCTACCAAGCCCCCACCAGGGTACCTCGAATGTCTTTTCTTTCCCTTCTTCCTCTTCTTCTTCCTCATCCTCTGCACAGCTCTGAGAACACAAAGGCTCGCTTCAGGGTTTGATTTCATTTTCCAGCTGCCTAGATTTCATTTGCTGATAATTGATCAATTAAACTTGAAAGAACACTACCTTTGCCATCATGTCTGCATACGCAATATACAAAGGATCTTCTTCCAAGTGACTGAGAAAAAAATAAAGTCATGTTGTGTTAATATCATATATTCTGCTGGTTAAAGTACACAAAACGGACAAATTGATATTGATTAAAAGTTAGACAATTATCACAGCAGATACCTCAAAAACTTGGATACACAAAAATTAAAACAGGCCACGGGGCAAAATATGTAATATGTGATCTGGAAGTGATTAAAAAAAGTTTGCTAATTGCTTAAAAGCAGAGTCATAACCATCTCACCTTCTTTCTGTCAGAGCATTGTGGCTGAAGTGCAGAATGAGTTGGTGGAGAGGGTCGGGCTGGATCTCAGCCACCTCCTCTTCCTCCTCCTCCACAATCTTCATTGGTGTTTTCTGCACAGGAGTGAACTATTAGCTCTGCTCAAATCGCAGCTGCTTACTACTCAATGCACGAGACCTTTGATTCACTGACATCTTTGCAAACTCACTGACACTTTCACGCATTTGTCCAAAACACTGAAATGAGTTGTTAACATTCACCTAGTACCAGCATGCAGATGATTTTGATTTTTTCGGTCCTGGTAATCCATGAATAGGACAAGACGTTAAGAGTGACTCATGAACAACAGAGTTGGAACACGTTTTCAAATGCATGCATGTTGCAGCAAACAGATGCAAGCAGTAAGCCGTTGGGTGATATGAATTTGAACATGGGGAATGATCCAGACGGCAAAGGAGCCTAACAAAGAGGGACTGTCAAAACGACACAGTCTTCGAGAGCCCAAACTAATCTGACAGTTTGGTCAAATAAAACTGACAATAAATTAATAATCATCCGAAAGGAACAGATTATAATCTAATCATCATGTATTTAAAGCTTTAATCAGTGAGAAACCTTTTTTTTTTAAGAATTTGCTGCACATCTGCAAGATCTAATATGAAATGTGATCTTCACATGACTACGCGAGCATGCCACTGATGTCACGGCCACAGAAAGTACTGGAATTTCACCTTCACACTCACACTACAGACTTACAGAGTACAGCAAAACGACAACTGATGGGTTGGATCCAGATCGGACAGCCAAACAGCTAGTGACAGTCTCCTATTGTAGTGAAAGGCCCTCCTTACCACTGCTGTCAGAAAGGCATAGCCTGCTTTTCTAGAGCTGTGAGTGCCGGAGCTGGCCCTGTGTCTCCTGAGTTGATCATGCAGCCTCTGACCCCTGACGGACCTCTGTTTGAAGGGTTTTGCGCGCCTAGAGCGGGGGACCCTGGGTGCTTTGGGCGAGGTCCCCACCCGGGCGCGCTCCCATGGCTCAACAGGTGCAGAGCTAAAGAAGCATTCGGCAGACAGGACTGGCAGAGGGGTGCCAACGCAGGGCACATGGGGCGAGGCCAAGGCTAGCCCAGTACTTACTGCCAGATCCTGAACTAGCTTCTCCTCAAAGGAGTACTCCTCTGCCTCTATCCAAAGTCTCTCATAGGCCGGGATGAAGAAGTTGATAGCACGATGCCTGGGGAGGGGGAGGTGGGGAGGAATGAAGGGGGGTAGGGGAAGGTAAGAGTGGCATTAGGGTAGGTTCTGGTGAGTTTTTGGTGGAGACAGGAAGGAGAGATGTTGGGAGGAGGAAGGGATTACAGGAAGTGCATTTCAGGCAGGGTGGTGTGATTGGTCAATGTGGGATCCACTGGCTCTTCTGACTGGTCATGTTTGGTCTCTAAAATACCTGCAGTTACCTCGTCAAAGGAGCATGCACACTTTAGGTGGGTTTTTGTTTTCTTATCTTAATGAAACTAATCATAATGTTGGAAACCAGCTGATCAACTTAACAAAATCAAGACTGATATATTTCTTTCTGCCTTTCTTCTTCTCTCCTTTCTTCATTGCTTCCTTTAGGGTTCACCTGAAATGAAACAGAGGCCTGCGGCTTGCAGTGCATTTCCACTTTCCAATAAAGTTTGTTTCACTCAATTCTCAGGCTCATTCTAGCTGACCAATCAGAATCAACAGTGCAGAGACAGTTGATTGCTAGGCAGAGATCGGTCCACAGCCTGGTGGATGAAGGGGGGAGGTTGAACAGATGAAGCATTCACCCCGTAGTTTCACTTTACCGTCAGCAGGGAGAACAGGCGGTCAAAGCTGGAGGCTTTGAATGCCCTTTCCAGCCAAACCTCCCGATAGCCATTCAGGAAGTAATTATTAATTTTGTATCTGAGGGAGGATGAGGTAGTGTTATGCAAGAAAACAACACAGAGGAGAGAATGTCATTAGGGAGGTGATGAGGGGTTTTACATGGGCACACAGTCAAGAAAAGAAAAATGAGCCCACCCTCCCACGGCTATTTGGTGATCGCTTGTTATGTACGGTTAGATTGAGACAAGACAATGTCTTAACTGGTTTATTTAAATAGAGAATGCCAATATTTAGATATTGACATTTTTTGCGTTGTCTGAAATGTTGCAGGTGTTTGTTTGTTTTTTAACTCACCTGGGTAAATTGTAGAGTGGAGCCATGCGGAAACAAGCCACTACAGCACGTTTACGCTGTTTCGATAGCAGCTTCTGCCACACACACTTTTTATTCCTAAGTGGTTGCTCCACCTAAAAGAGGATAGTAGACATTTGTGACTATACAAGGACGTTACACATAGCTTTTTAACTACCCTTTAAGACTGGGATTATTCTACAACCACAATTCAATTTATTGTAAAAGAATATAGGGGGAAAAAATGTCGAGAAGGTTAATGACAAAAGCAGTGAGTAAGCTAGCTGCACAAAGAAATAAAATGGTATTTGAGAAACTGAAATGACTAAATGTTCTAGAACATGTCAATGTCCGGTAGTGGACTGTCAATATGTTTTTACCTGCTCCAGATGGAAGACTGCAGCAGAGATGCTCTGGACTCTGTCCACTGTATGCTCTGGGTTTGCTGGTTCCTCGCTCTTCACCACAACATCTTTGTACAGGTTCATCTGCCACTGGACCGCTGGGTCATCAGACTACAACACCAAAATCAATCATTTAAAAAAAAGACTAATAAAAAAAAGCACATGAAATCAAGTTTTATTACCTAAACTACTGGAACCAATCTTACCTTGTCCTGGAGATGGAGATTCTGACGCAAATGCTCCTTCACCTCATCATCTGTGTCTTTCTATGAAGGGACATGCAATGTGGTGTTATTAAAATATTTCTTCATTTAATTAAAACATCAGATTATTTGTGCAATGCAAAAGAAAGCACACCAGCCTGAGAGAAGTGCACCTATGAAAGAAAGTGTCAAAGTATGATGACTGCAGTGCTGATGGGGAAAAAAAAAAAAAGACCAAACTGACTGACCATCTATCATCATCTTAAAGATGGATGCACAGACCACATTCTACCTGTAGACCTACCAGTGATGAGAGCAAGTTGCACTTCATAGTACTCCATATTTTTTTGGACTTGCAAATTCATTAAAGTCATCTATGATCTAACATAACAGATATGTATATGTGGACCTCTGCACGCCATCCCTACAGATGCTGTGATCTAAAATCCTTTGTTCCAGGTCCTATTTTGTCAGCTCACCAGGCTGTAGCGTATCTTGGCCAAAGAGACGAGCTCCTGGTCTCCTGGGGTGCACATGTTAAGGCCGATGGGTAGCATCTTCTTCAGGGCGGCTACAATTAGAGACGTTTGAATGGAGTAGTATTCACCACGTCGGAGCTTGTGTTTCCTCTCCTGGTCCCCACCTGTCTACAGAGGTTAAGAAAATATAAGAGACATAACATAAGATGACTAATGTGAGAGCTGAAGGTAATCAGAGACCATAAAAATAATGATTATTTACCTTGACCTTAAACATACCTTTCCTCTTAACAATTTCTTTATTGTCATTATTAAAGTTCTTGAAAATTGAGAGTTTAGATCAGTTTGACACCTGAGCTTTTTACTCACATGGACTTGCACATACTGATTAATATGAGCATCAATTCTTAAAGTGTGTGTGTGTGCGCGCGCATGCGTACGCAGACAGACAGACAGACAGACAGAGCAAAAAGTAAGGGAAAAAACGGAATAGATCAACCAGGTTCTCAAATCACATTTAAGTCATTTTATAATAAGGGGGCAAAAGGTGTTTCACCTACAAACCATTCAAAAAGATGAATCACAACCGATGGGACCAAAGTGGAGTCTTTCACCATAAATCATTTAGCAAGCAGAGTCCTTCAAAAGGTGAGAAGCTTTAAAAAAAATAAAAATAAAAAAAAATTCTTCTGTGAGAATTGAACCAAGACACTCTGAGAGTACCAATAAATCAAATGCTGAGCCAAAACAAATAAACATCGAACTCTCTCTGTGTCAGCTGGTTGAGAGGCTGCTGGACGACACGCTGTCATCATCTAGATTTTTAAGAGACTTTATTACGACAAAAATGTCAAATGTAAACCTAGCGTAGGTGTGAACTTAGGAGTGTGAACTCACTGAGTTGATTCATAAAACAACTCACATTTGCATATTTGTCTTGTTCAGCACGTGTTAAAGGGGCGATTAAAAACATAATAAAAGTGCTTGTTCAAGTAAGTTTTCTTTACATTAGCAGAACCTGTGATATTGGAACATCAACAAAGGATATTCAGGTTATGCTTTTCCAAAGTGCTGATATTATAAAGGAAAGAAGAGCTACATGAATTCAGCTTGAACCCAGAGATGATTAAAATGTACTTTCCTTCATCTCCTTCATGAATAAGGACAAAGGTCATCTGCAGTCTTGTGAAAAAGAAAGTTGTTGAATCGAGATTTTAACAGGATGCATGGTCCTGTGAAAACTTTAATTTTAACATCACAGTATAATAAAGTCCCTCCTTAAAAGGAAAGAGTCTTGAATGAAAAATATTCATGTTATGAATTCATATTAAAAGAAGCTCAAAGAATGATTATTATCATCTGATTACCCATAAAATCTGATCAGGACTTCTAACATGGTTCATTCTCAGCAAGGCGATAATATTTGTGAATACTCGTTATTCATTAAATCTGGTTAGTCTGACCTTATGACATTTTTCAGTTAAATCTATAGTAGGATCACGTCCAATAATAGCATGTTAAGTAATATTTCATATTTTCTTTTTTTAAAATGACATTTCTTACTTTATCAGATTCAGTTATATTGTTGTGAGCATCAGTTAGTGTCTAATCTTTTTTACATTTTACATCTCTCTCTTTTTTGGATTTCTTTGTGTCAGCCGAAGCTGAGTGATACAAAATTAAAACTAAAGATATTTTAAAGCTGTTCTCACACACCAAGTTTCAAATCATTCTGACACAGGAGCAAGTCAAAGACCCACATCCCCATCTTTACCTTAGACATCTTAGTCTTGCCTTCACCAGTTAGGAAGCCCAAATTGTTGATTTCATTCTGAACCACAAAGTTTTGCTCCTCACGCTTAAAGTTCTGGATTCAGAGAACAAAGAAATAACGTGACTGGAATAAATGAGTTAATCTTGGTATTGTAACTATTATCATGAAAGACTGGACAGCGAGGCTTACATGTGACTTGCACCAGAGGATGAAGATCTCAGCCACCATCCTAAAGAGCTCAGTGGAGTCTCCGTCCGGCTCCTTCAGCCACCTGGACCTGGAGTGGACAAAGACATGAAGCATGTTTAGCTGGAAGGACTTAATATTTGTCAGATTACATCTGTGCAGGACTGGACCAAAAAACCCCAAAGCAAAACAAACAAACAAAAAAAAACCCCTCAGTGTATTGAATGTTGACATAAAAATTGCAAAATCACTAAAATCCACTAAATAGCATTTTAGAGATGGTCAAGAAGTAGCGTGTATATATTTTGCACCTGTTGTTGTCCACATAACGAATGAGCATGGGGTAGAAAGCATAGAGGTCCCTGCAGAGCACAGCAAACTCGTCCAAGATGAGCAGTTCTGCCTCCTGGTTGTCACCTTTGCTGTCAGCTTTCAGCAGCTCCTCTTCAGCCACCACCTGCATATGCAGTGCATAAACAACAATCAGTTTATTAGTATGAACATCTTCAATAATAATCCCATCTCTCCATCCTCTCTCTGAGCAAAGAAGTATTTTTATTTTCCATAAAGGATGTAAATATACTGAATGTTTACACCACAACTTCAGCAGCTATTAATTGAGTAAACAAAAAGTACTTGAACCACAGACATCACTTGACAGTGGATATAATGTGCAACTACAACAGCATGTACAGTATATTTTAAGCGCTCACCTTCACCGTCTTCTTCTTTAATTTATCCAGTGTGGGCAGGAAATGGGTTCTGAGCAGATCTGCTCCAGCTTTGCAGATGATTGGCTGAGAATAGACTGTGAATAAACATCCGGAAATTATTTTCTCAGCTGAGACACTGACATTTTCAAGAATAGAATAGAATAGAATAGAATAGAATTCAACTTTATTGTCATTGCACATGCACAGGTACAGGGCAACGAAATGCAGTTTGCATCCATCCAGAAATGCTTTAGTGATATAGATATATTACAATATATATTAGCAATAGTATAGATATGTAAGTATATTACAGAAATGGGTCTATTATGGTATGTTATAATGTACACGGTATGAAGTATGTTGTGAATATTCTATAACTATAAGTATGTACAGGCTGTAGTGAGTACAAGCTATGTACAGGCTATGTACAGGATATAAATATGAAAAACTATATAGAATATGAAATAAATAACTTTACAGAAATCTGAGATATACAGCTATACAGAAGTGAGAACTATGCAAGTTGTAAACAATAATAAGCCAGCTTTTGCAAAAGGTCTGAGTCACAGTTTTAAAGAACACAGGTGAAAAGTCATCCCTTGATCCCTGGAAAAAAGATGTTAGACAGCATCTCCAAATAACTTATTAGAATCCCGCGACTGGAATACATTTACTGACTTCTCTAACAATAATACTGGGGGCTTACCGGCAATCCTCTTCATCCAAGGAGCATCATCAATGCCCAGGTTGCTGTTGAGGATCTTGAGGATATTTCCCAGAATGATGCTGAGGTGTTCAGAGGTCACCATGGTGCAGCACTGAGTATCTGGGGGCGAGTTCTCTGGACCTTTCTCCCACCAGTAGGACAGATAGTTACACAGCATGGGAAGGATTACCTCTATAACCTGCAGCAAATGGGCAGAAGGCTGAATGTCTGAATCAGAGTGTGTGTACTGTGACATAAGTGAGATTATCAATGCACAGCTTCCAGAATTGATTTTATATTTTTGCTATGTTTTTTGTATGTCGTATTTTACATTTATTCAATAATATTAAATAAAATACCAGTTGATTAAAAGGATAGTTAATATTTTATTTCACTTATAATAACTATAATAACAATCAAAATTAATGGAGCTGAGGCTGAGATGGCCTGACTTCCAGTGGCCTGACCTTTTATACTTCACATTGAATTGAGCACTTCCAATAATACAAACTAATAGCATGTAAAGTAGTCAGCAGTTGCAATAAAAAAATAATCCAGATGTTTGTTTAATAATACTAATATCCCATAAACTCTTCTGACCTGTGGCATGTCACTATAGCGAGCACCAGACTCTGACACATCATTGACGTCTTTGAGAAGTTTGTCAAGACGAGGCATCTCTGGGCACATCTCCTCCACTGTGTCAGGCATACTCAGGACTAGAACAGGAAAACAATCGCTGTGATTAATCACAGAGATTCTATCTATAAGCTGGCATTCTTAAAACCGCCAAGTTAATAATAGTATATATTTATCAAAAGACATTATATAGTAACAATCAAATTAAAATAAAAATGAGGATCAGGGAGATTCTTACTGGCTCGCTCTCGAGGGGTCTTGGTGTTGAAGACTGAGAGTGGGTTGTGAGCATTTAGATGAGGCTCCAGGAAAGCTACGGGCATGGCTCCAACCAGAATCGCCAGGCTCTCCCCCAGTGCTGGCAGATGCCTATTTATGATACAAATCAACATGGAAATTTGCATAGTGTGATATTACTTATGCAAAATAAGCACACAGATAAAGACACAAGTCAAATGTCAAAATGTACAAGAGCAAGTTACTCTTGTAGGTGGAAGATTTTACAGGTGCCGGAAATAGGCAAAGACATATTTTTTGGCTTGTGTTTGTTTGTTTTTTTAAACACTTTTTTCCCCCTTTTCCCCTGTTTGCAGTCAAAAACTTTAAAAACTTCACCGCTGTTATTTTTACAGTTTGACTTGGCTGAAAGTTTCTCATTCAGAGCAGCTTTTTAAGATGTTAGTTTTGGGGAACCATTTCTATTTATTTAGTTATTTACTATTTTAAGTAGATCTATATAAAATACAAAAATGAATAATTTTAGTCAAGACCACTACAATGATTACAGAAGAAACACAGTGAAAAGGAGATCCTTGGGTGGAGGTGGGTTGCAAAGTGGCTTGCAGATGCCCAGCAGCTGTGGCAGACTAAAGGAGCTATGAAATTATCAACTGGATCCAAAGAAAGGTGTCAGCTTATGTGAACTGAAGATCAGGTGATCTTCCAAGATTGAGGATCAGACTGGTTTAATGGAAATGGTAAATGGCCTGTATTTGTATAGCGCTTTTCTAGTCCCTAAGGACCCCAAAGCGCTTTACACAACCTGTCATCCACCCATTCACACACACATTCACACACTGGTGATGGCAAGCTACATTGTAGCCACAGCCACCCTGGGGCGCACTGACAGAGGCGAGGCTGCCGGACACTGGCGCCACCGGGCCCTCTGACCACCACCAGTAGGCAACGGGGGAAGTGTCTTGCCCAAGGACACAATGACCGAGACTGTCCAAGCCGGGGCTCGAACCGGCAACCTTCCGATTACAAGACGAACTCCCAACTCTTGAGCCACGATCGCCCCTAGTGGAAGCTTGAACTTAAACAGTAGGCTTGATTTTTGCCTTAATTTTGTAACAGACGCCCTTTCCCATCAAATTTGCCATATAAATCAAAGTACATCATTAAACAATGAAGTATTTAATAAGTGCATGTGGTGAAGGTGTGGTCCTGGGCTCAGCTGCAGGGGAGGGGTGGTGCCAGGAGGCAGGTGAAGCCACAGGTGGTAGCGACTGGAATGATGACAGTGTCGTTTCTTTTCGTAGTGAAGCAAAAGACGAGCATGGTGTGTGTGAGCTGAGACCAGCGCTAAGTGGAGACTGTGGCATTGTGTGTGTACATGACAATAAAAACTGAGAACTGTGAACACAGCCATCGCGTGTGTGGGTCCATCTTACAGTGCACATCTTGTCAGCCATATCATACTTACCTGTGTATAATACCGATTTTCTGTATTAGAAAAGTTTTGCCTCCTACCTCTCCACAAACAAGTTCTTTCCTGTTCCCAGACAGTACAAACATGTCAGAATTCTGTAGCAAGACAGCTGGACGTCATCCACTGAAACAAATAACATGCATTCATTAAACATCAGCAAAAAGAAACGAGAAACTTTGAGGGAAAACCAGTATGAAAAATAGGAAAAGATATTAGAATATTCCTATTAGAAAATCCATATAATAGGAATTCTGTGCAAACTGGGAATATAAAGAAGGCTAAATCAACTATTTCCCATCTCGCTTTTGGTGTATTTAACTATATTTTGTTTATTCTTTTCACTTTTCTCTTAGCTAACTATGATAAATAACTACAGTATGAAAAAAAACTATAAAAAAGACAGTCGAGAACAGCAAACACTGAGCATGGAAACTCACAAAGCAAGTCCACTCCAAACTCGTATGTTTTGATATGCTCAAAGAGGGCAGTGAGGATAGGCAGCAGTGCCACTGTCACATAGTTTATGCTTTGACTGACGCTCTTCATCTGGGCACGGGATTGCATGAACTTTCCCAGTTTCAGCATCTCCAGCAGCTTCTCCAAGTCTTCTGCTGCATTCTCAAAGAAAGTCTTTAACCCGACTTTTACCAGCTCCGAGCCAGTCTTCATCACTGTTCTGTAGGAAGGAGGGAACAGAAAGGCTAGTATGCATGCAAAAATACTTTTTTTATGAGTTAGTGGTTTAAAGATAATACATGCGTGTCTTTTATTGAGCTTTATTACAAGTCTTATGAAGTAATACGCACTTACCTAGTGTCAAGTGAGTGAGTAAGGATGTGCAGACAGCTCACCATCATTGCTGAATCACTTCCTGTGGGATATATTTAATGTAGATACTCGAAAGGATTGCAAACAAAAAGCCACACAAACATATGAACAGAAGCAACCTTACCAAAGAGAGAAATCCTGTGTCTGACAAGAGCTGCCAGCTTACAGAACAGACTGGAAAAGAAAGGAAGTAAGAACGAAACTGAAGAAGATGTTAGGAAAAAGCAACCGAGTGAAAGAAAACAAGAAAGGGCTTTATGAAAATACAAGAAAACACAATGATCAGCAAAAACATGATCACAGTACCTGGTGACCATCTCCTTCTCTTTATTGGAGGCACAACCACAACTGCTCAGGTTCTTACTAGGTGTAGACAGGAAGTACAGACAGTGGTTTTTAAATGTTTGATCAGTCAGGGGAAGCAACACCTGGGGAGAAGAAATAAACACTTTAATTAATAAAAATAAAAAAAAGTAACTACAACAGCACATCAGTGGCTCAGCTGCAAACAGAGCTCCCAACCTTGGCAAAGAACTTGATTTCCTGGTCATGAGGGGATTTGTCGGTCTTCCCACTGGTGGCCATCGCCTCTGGATTAACGATGTTGAACACCAATGTCAGCCAAGGCTTTTAGCACTGAACAGTACTAAAAAAAGGTACATCAGCATCTGCGTATAAAAATGCAGCAGACTTACCAAGATGAGCAATGAACTCCTGGGCAGAGTCAACATTCTTCAGCAACCTCTTAAGGAACTTGTAAGAAAAGCGTTTTTCCATTGATGATGAATCCTGCTCCATGTCCTTCAAGCCTCTGTGAGACAGAAACACTACTGACTACTAGTCAAGAGTCAAATCTTTGGTTTATTATCTCAAAATTTCAACTTACTCAGCAGTTTGACTCAGAAAGTCAAAACTTTAAGGTACTAACTGTAAATTTTGAGATAATAACAGAAAATTTTGAGACAGCAACACAGCCAAAAAAATGCTTTTTCCAGTAGTGGAAACAAGCATCCATAGTAGCAGAAGTGCTCATTAGGATTTTCCCCAAGTTTTCAGTATAGCACTGGTAAAGTGCTATACAGTTGCCTAAATTTTCATTTCTTTAAAACGTGAGCATTAGGAGGCTGACCTTGTGATGGCATAGCCACTAATCTGCAGGAACTTGAAGAGCTCCTGGGCCTTCTCTCTGTCTCTGTACTTCTCTTTAGCTGTCAAGGTATCATAGGGTACCAGCAGTGGGTGGGTCCCTCCTCCTGGACAAGATTGAAAAGTCATTTCAGGCGCTTTCTTTTGAACACAAATAAATAACACCTCGATTGCTGTTCATAAAACTTCACTACGATTTGCACACCTTTGCTGACAAGCTCAGTTTTCTTCTTCTTGGCCCAGATGTTGTGGTAATTTTCTGCAACCACCTCCACCATGCCCTGCAGAAACAGAAAAAGTGCAGCTTTTCTCAGTTTTTTTGTATTTTGTATTAGAAGATACATGGGAACATTTAGGAAGAGTCAAATGAAACCCAACCTGCAGCTCTCTCGACAAGGTGACATTGTGCAGATCCATTGGAGCGGGACTGAATCCATTAATCTACAACGTAAAAAAGAAGCAAATTGCTTTTGAATCAGCATTTTAGCTGGCAAAATGTGCAAAAGCTAACAAAAAACAGCAAAAGATAATACAGATGAAAGGATATGATGGATGGCTGTGATTTATGAACAGCAAACGGAGAAGTTTTAACTGCCAACATCGCTAACAGACTGAAAATTCATTTATTGCCCTTCTGCTGTCATCCCTCCTGGATCTAGCAGATTTATCATTTAGGCTACTAAAAGACATCTGCAAGTAAATGTTGCAGACAAAATGCTAATATATGCATATATCCACACTTTACTCATAGTCAAGTCTTTTCCATGCTGCATTTCTGCATCAGTGGCTTTTAATTGAATATTTCTTAAGATCTGCTAAATGTTAATTGTAGAATTTTTGTTCATTGACTCAATAAAAATGATCCCTACCCACGCTTAAAATGTGTGTTTTAAATGCTACGCTGAAAAGACTAGCAGTAAAAATATCTCCAGTCTGAAAAAATGTGAATATTTTCTTTTATGTATTTTACTACAGTACGTGCTTTGAGCTCTCTATGGATCAAAAAAGACTCTTTATTCTTTAAGTTAAAAACAAAGCAGACATTTCTCAGTTCCCAAAACACAGATTTCCATTAAAAAAAAGTGGTCTTGAGAAATGAAGCCTTCATTAAACTTGTATTCATTACTGACACAAGCCACTGGGACTGTTGTTTGGTGTTTATTATTCTTGCATGACAACAGTGGTCCTGCTATTTACTTTTTAATGGGCTCCTGTTATAAATGATGTCTGCTTTCTGTAGCATGAATCACCAAAGACGGAAAAATTAAAAAGGAGCGTCTAGGGAATTGTTGTCAGTTGATGAGATAGTAAATATGCATCACAAAAGGAAACATTTATAAATGTGTTACCTGGGACTCCGAGATCTTCCGCTGTTTTTCGCTCTCTCGTTGCTGGAACATCGCCTCACCCTCTTTGGTCCTCTCAATGTTCCAGCCCATAGCCAACATGCTCTTCAGTGACTCTCTCACTGGCCAGCGATATGTTTCTCTCTCCTACAGAATGAACACATTCACAGTCTAACACTCTGTCCTGTAGAAGACATGCAGGCTATATAGAATAGGCCTATAGACCAGATGTCACAGCTTAACAAAATGTGAAAACATTTACACAAAAATCAAACAAACACACGTGTATTTCTTTTCAAACTTCTGATAAAAATGTCCTTGTAAAATCATTACTTATGATGTGGCTTTTTTCTTGCCGTCTCAGTAAACCGCCTCAGAGAGTTTTCAGAACATAAGTGTGTGTGTCTGTCCACCTTTGATAGTGTATAAATTTGTTTGTCTGTGGCTCCACCCTTGCATATTTTCTGGCTACCTTAGTAGGAGTTTTAGAGTTTATCTTACAGAGTATATTTGGCCTTCACCTCTCGTTTTTGACCCAACACCTGACACAAAACCCGAGTGGTGCATTTGCCCCTTTGGTTGATCCAGCCACTGTTCACAGAAGCCTCATCAGAAATACTCTCAAGCTGTCAAGGTGCCATTCTTCAACAAGGGTGACCAGCTCTCTCAGCTGTGTGAGCACTAATGTGCACGTACCTTCTCACTCAGAGATTTATAGGGCTTCAGGAGTGGATGGGTTTTGGCCTGCTCATCCACAGTGTCTCCATGTTTCCAGCCCACTGACATCTGCAACACAGTTTATTTCAATTAATTACACCATCTCGCATTTTATTAAACCATGAAATGTAAACTGTTTTAGTAAAATGACTGAGACTACAAAGTACAATTACAACTTTGCATTTCTTTGGATTTTTATAACATAAATCGACTCCAAGCATGAGTGAAGAAGACACTGAGAACACGAAGGCACGAACCTTCTCTGAGGACCACTTGTCATGGGAATGCTCTGCATATTTGTTGGCAATGTACTCAAGTTTTTCAGGAAGGGAGATACTGAAAAGTCAAAATTGTGTTTAAGTCATAACATATAAATAAAAACATTTAGAAACATGACATGAAACATGCTGCTTTAACAAGGCTGCATTTTTAGAACACTTACTTGGCAGTGCTGATGGGTTTGGGGTCAAAGTTACCCTGTGCGTCCATTGATGCCTGCTTCTCCAGCGTTGCACCTAAACTGGAATCCACAAAGTCTGGAGGCAGGGCCCCAGCGATTGCACACAGGCATGACTTGGCCATTTTGAAAAGTTCAGTATCATATTTCTACAAAATGTAAGAAGAGAGGGAAAGGGGTGCTTAGAAGTTTCACCATTTCACTTTTATTTTTTCAGAACGTGTCTGCTGAGACAACTACAGTGGAGCAGAGTAGGATCAGCCCCCCTCCCAAAAAGGAAGTCTGCACCATGTAGTGACCTGTCACAGACTGATAAATGATTCATCTGATTTGACTTTGCCTCAGCTGCACTGCTCACAAGCACTTCATTGAGCTTTCACTTCACTGCCTCTGACTACTGAGAACTTTTCTCTCAGGAGATCCACACTCAAGTGTTGAAAACTCAAGATTTAAAGAAATAAATAAATAAGAATATATATATTTTAAATATGGGAGAACAGAGTTTTACAAGCACCACTCAGCTACCAAACATTTTGTTCTGCAAAAATGCGGATCAGAAAAATACCACTTCTAGTCCCGGTTCATTCTCGTAGAACAACAAATACGCAAAATACAGAGAATTTTTACAGCTCTATGCACACTGGGCCAGCTCATCTTTAATAATAAATACTTATAAATAAATTCCTGGCTGTACCTTATGAGAAAGGGAGTCAAAGATTCCCCAGAAGAGTTTCTTGGTGAGAAGGAGCTCCTCCTCAGAGGCAGTACCAAAGCTGCCCATACCAGATGGCAGGCAGTAGTACTTCCAGTTCTGCTCGTAGTGATTGGTCAGCAGCTAGAAATAAGAAACACAAACACGCACAAAAATTCCTGAATATTTTTACACTCCAATTGCGATTGCTACAATCATGTTGTTTAACTCTGGAAGTTAGGAAGACAACGGGTTCCCAAATTTTACATTCCAGTGATTGCCTGTGTTATTTCTTCAATAACCTTTTTGACTCATACATCAAACACATATTAACAAGAAAGTGTTTTGCGTCTCACCCGGAGAGATATCTTGCAGTATTCATTGAGCATTGGAACATCGAACACCAGACGTCTGAGCAGCTGCTGCATCATAGAGGGACGCAGGTGTCTGTGAAATAAGTGCAGAATTACATCTGTGTAGGCGGAATATGATTTTCTCTTATGTGCATGTGCTCACATCCAAGAATATTTTAAGAACTGTGAGAAGGAAAATGTTTATGTTGTAACCTTGCGTATGTGGCAGGCATATACTCTACGCACCATGCTGCACGAGTCCAGGTAAGGACATGGATCAAGGTCACGCTAAATGTGTTAAATTTACACCAAAATTAAAGCAGCTTGAGCTGCTATAATTTTCTACCATCACACAAACTTTCAAAATTTTACACACAAACAAAAGATGCAACCATTGAAAGATTTGAAAAGTGAAGCCAGTGCCCTAAACCTGCATTATTTTTAATGGCCTGCAGGGGGAAAATCCAGATTTCTTTAATTTAACTCAGCTAAGACTAAATAAAGCTAAAGAAGCCTTACTTGCAGATTGCCAGCAGACACTCTTCAATGGCATCCCTTTGGGCTTTGGTGAGTGAGCGGCCTTTTGACAGCCTGTAGATAGTCTGCAACGTGGAGTCAACCAGCTGTGCGTGGTGCTCTGTGCTGCCAAAGAGAGCGGCACAGCGGGTCAGCAGAGGCAGCAGAGCTGAGCCGATGTACCTGTTCATGGCCAGCGCAGTCTCTGTGGTGCTCAACACCTCCTGTGAGACAGAGAACAATGCATGTAACTGAAAAAGGAAGAGCAGCCCAATCTCTACACGCAGAGATTAACAGAAGGTGGAAGTGATTATAGGTTCCGTCAAATGTAAATATTATGCAGTTCTCTAATAGCAGAAAAGGACAGCAAAGCTGAAGAGCTTCAATTTCCACTGATGTCACAGACGGGGATAACTGTATTCATTAAAACCAAAGTTTGAGAAGTCTTTCTGTAGCTTCTTGTTATTTTTGTGGGAAACAGGTGGTGTTTGTGATGGTGTCATTTACCTTTTGCATGTAAATTAAGTTCCAAATGTAAAAAGTTCCGGATGGATACTTTTCAAAACTGGAAACGGCTTACTGTGAGCCATTCAACCATAAATAATGGATAGACAATTTGTTAGTAGAAAATGAATCTGCACTAAGAGCAGTGAAGGTGGGAATTTGTTCACAATTTTCTCCCTTTAAAAAACAAAAGAATAATAACGGAGCAAAGTAAAGGACTAAAGGAAAATAACCATAATTGAACTAGTTGATAATTACTTTGCTGTTTTAGACTATATTGCGTTATATTTGATCCATAGACTATACATAAGACATACATAACATATTTTGGGTAAGTAGTAAGTGTGATGAGAGCAAAGGTTCACTTAATCACCTGTCAAGTCATTTTAAATGACTCCAAGTGTGTACCTTCGATGCACAAATTCTCCTTACAAAGAGCAAAAACTCACCAAAGGAAATCCAAACTTTATATCTAGTTTTTTATCATCTATCAAAGCTCCTCGGTCTGCAGCTTGTTTTTACCCTTTTGCCACTTTCAGGATCCTCTGGCTCATTTATTTGATTGACTGTTAATCTGTGCTAGACTGATAAATGGATAATTCAACCAAAATATTTCTTTCAAAGTGTTCGCAACTTCCCAGATCGTTCTGTGTAGCAAATGACCGGATAAACTGGGTTACGAAAAAATGTAGTTTGAGTGTAGTTTTTATACTGAACTGTTTAAAAGCTAAGGGTGACCTGATCAGTAGGCCGATTATTATGTTAATATTTCTGAAAATTTGCAACAGGCTTAGTAACTGTTCTGAGCAATCGGTGCTCATGTTTGATAAGATTTACTCCCTCTGTGGCACATTTGATGAGCAAACTAGAAACCTTCATTTCATTATCAGTAAATGACAAAAGACTTAAGATCTCAAAAATGTAACAGGAGCAGAGACGACAGAGACGATTACACCTGTCAGGTACAACTAGAGCTTACATCCTTTGCATTTGCAGAGACTAAAATGTACTTTTTCAGGAAGTGGATACAAATTCTTTGGCAGGTAGTCATTGACAAAATGGGACTTTGAAGGTGAAAGTGTGTGTGTGTGTCGTGAATGTTCTAGGACTTACCGTATCCAGAGACGCCGAGGCTCGGAGGTCAGGCAGGAAGCCAACCTCCAACATCTGGAGCAGGAAGCTCTGGTCCTCGATGCCGTAAACTCTGTCCAGGAAGAGCACCATGGGGGCCTTGTGGTCGGGACAGAAACAAGCTGACATGTCCGGTTCGGTCACTGTGCCATCTGAAGGTTGGTGGAGCAAAACAAAAACCAATGAAAGGGATTCACTGAAGAAAGTTTCAAATGTAACATGATTTCGGAATAAAATTAGGCTTTAGAGTTTAAGGGAAATGTAATCCCAGACACGATAAGCTGAGGAAACCAAGCATAAATGTGAAATGTATTTATTTTCTGGTGTTCTTGCTGTTGAGCATCGTTGTAAGCCATAATTTTATAAGCAAGGCACAAAGTAGAAAGGTACTAAAAACACAATGTAGGCATATTGGTTTTCCACAGAGATGTAGAGGGAAGCAAAGGCTCTCTCCTAAGTGATGTCTCCTGCCATTGCAAAGGCACTTACAATAATATACGTCCAGTTAGCAGAGCTGTGATGATACTCTGCAGAGTTATGAAATTATTTCAGCTTCCTTAATCTGGCAGGACGACACACATGCTGTACCAGGCAGAGTTTTTATTATTTGCCGTAGGCAGTAAGGTAATGCAGCATGTTTGTTCAGCAGGATGTGGCAAAAACTGTTTGTGATCTACAGCAGCCCGGGTTTGCCTGTAGAGTATAAATTAGATTTTTAATCAGACTACCGTGCACCTTCAGCCGTGAATCTAAACTAAACAACATTTTTCTTTCCCCAGGTAGACATCCCGTCTCACCTTAATTCACGTCTGTTTATGCGTTTCCTTTTAACAATCAGAAACTGCCTAAAGCAAACTTAGACCGGCATACCTTTATTAACGACAGGCATTTTGAGGGGGATGCTGATGACGCCCACCAGGTCCGAAGTGGGAACCAGAGAGCGCAGGATGGCTCTGATACGCAGCGCCTCACCTTTACCTGCATTGATAAGCTGTAAGAGATGCACAGGCACAAAACAAAAACAATATCTTTCTCATAAGAGTCCCTGTGACAGTACACAGAATCTCATTCTTCAGCTCAGGCTGTTGTCGAAGGCCTTACATGCATCTCAGGAGCACAGCGTCCCAGCAGGTCAATGAGGGCAGAGTAGAAGGACATGATGGCGTTGCCCATGTGAATCACTTCCCCTTCCTCCTCACCAGACCTGAAACAGACAAACACACTATATAAAAATTATACGCACAGTATAATAAATATTATCCTGAACACGAGAAACATTTCTTGGAAGTTGCAGACAAGCTCTGCAGGGTGGTTTCAGGATACGGCGGTCAACAGAGGCGCAGTAAATTGGGCAATTTTGTGAGCATTTATAATAATGTTTTGGCACAATACATGATCTCCTTGCAGGCTATTCTGTTACACATATTGATTTTGAGCAGCTTTCCAATCTCTCTCCCCACTTCAGGCCATACAAACTTTCAACATTAAAATTCAGTCAGTGTTACAGGCTTTGTATACTTATGTAGAAAGGCAGGGACAAACAGCCAATGCCAGGGATAATGTATTCCTTTGTTTTACATATTCTTCCAGAAAAGTACCTTTTTTTTTTTCATACTGTCCTTAGGCTCCAATTATGATTTAAAATCTCTGATATTTTTTTATTCAAGACTTGCTTTAATAACACCTGGGTTGCAGTTGCATTATAAGACCTATATGTTTCCAGTAGTTGAAAAAGTTTTTCATTTTTTCCCCTCTTTTTTAAAAATGTCAAAGTCATCCGAGATAAATGATCGCTTAAAAAAAATCTGTGGTTCTTAAATGTGTCTTCAAACACATCATGAATGTGAATTTAGCTGCTGAAGTAAATTATATTTTGCTAAATAAAGAGTAAATTAAGAAGATTTTCTTGTTTTGGTAGGAGGTTTTTTTTTTTTTTTTTAAAGAGAGAGAACAAAAGACAATTATTTGATAAAACTCCACTTTCAAACAGCAATTACCTCTCTCTTTCTCTTCACTGTTCTCTTGCTGGGCAAAGGCAATGAAATAAACTTAGATCTCTTTTCCCGTAATGTGATATGGCTCTATTTGAGGGTCTAGCAACAAAGAATAATGCTGGTTTAGCTAAGCACACGGGGAAATCTAACTAAAAGTAACATTTCACACAGAGACCCAGATAATGAGAGCCTTAATCACAAGTGACTGGCTTTAGAGTTTCTGAATGGGTTTCTTAGTGTCTCGTGGTGATAAAAATGCTGATTCAGTATATTTTAAACACTGTGGAAAAAGAAAACAAAGAACCGGTGTCGTTTTTACCCAGTAGTGACTCCAGCAGGAGTCTTGGGCAGGTCCAGGGCAGGATCTTCAGAGATCTTGATGGCCTCTTCCATGGCAGCCAGCAGACCCTGACCTCCCTCGCCCCTCAAGGCTGGGCCGAAACACTCTGGACGCCTGATGAGCAGCTTCACCACCACGTTGGCATTTTCCTCCACGCTCTCACCTGGTGTGAGGAAGAAAAAAAAAAAAAAGGAGGAAAAAAAGCAGACCAATGGAAAGGAAAATTGTTATTATCCCCAAAAGGAAAGGTGAGAGTCAGCTAGAGTGTAAAACCCCTGAAAGTGGTATTCAGCAGCTTCTAAAGCACCGCTACATTTTTTATCCAGGAAAAGCCGACTCACATTTCCACGCGAGTCCTCAGCAGGACCCTGGCATCCTTCCCCAGTGGATTTTTTAAATTTCTGTGCAGTTTTTCATTTCTATTCCAAAAACAGCATCACTGTTAAATCCCCTGCTGCTTTAATACACAATACTCACAATTATACAGATGCAGTAAAATCACCCTAGACTGTTTCTTTGTTGCGATGCCACTTTTTTTGTTTTATCTCAATACTTATTTATTGCTCAGTTACACATATTCAGCGACTTAATTCGATTATATTTTCTTTAAAATGTCTTTAAAAAGCATCTCGGGGGTGTCCTCGGGAGGTTGGAGCTATGGGAAAGTTTTTCTAGTTTGTAATAATACTTTTTATGTAACACACTGCACGGTAACTAGTTTTTGCACATTCAATTAAAATCCAGATATTAAACAAGACTCGAATAAAAAACAAAAATCAAGTAAATCATAAATCACACACATAACACAACAGCGCCACATAAATATGTATCCACCAAATATCCTTACCACATACGAATATATGAAAACACTCAATATAAAATATAGTTTTTGTTTTGTTTGCTTTGCTTACCCCTTGCCAAATTCCCCTCCCCCTGTCTGTCTCCTTTCTCATTCCCATGTTGTCTTTATACAACGTGTTCAGCTTTTAAGTATTCCTTGCACCATGTAGGTTTAGCCTGGTGTCTGACCTCGTCTGTTCTCCTGACAAAGTCGAACTGACCACGTGTATACTCAAATGTATGCCACAATTAAATCCTCTTTGAACTTTAAGATAGCCTCTGGTGTCATGTATGTCAGGCTTGGGTACAAGCGGAGGCTTCACACAATGGTACACTCAGATATCGACAAAAAACGTCTGTGTTTACAGGATAACTCCACAAGCAATGTTTTCCTGCTTTATTTAACATTTTCCAGTCTGTTGCACTTCTAATCAGCATGCTGATGGGTGCAGTCGGCATGCTTTGTTGTGAAACAAACCAAGGGCCAAGTATATCACTGCACCAAAACGAGCAGAGGAACAGAATTGCCAGGGATGAAAAGTCATCTTAGTGCTCAGTATAAAACATACCGTTGCAGAAAACGGCGAACCTCAGGAATGAGAGGTAGCGCTCTCCCTCTATGGGGTTCCAGCCGAGGTCTGGGTATCCCTTAGCCACCAGCATGGCGCAGCTCTGAAGACCACAGCCTGCTAGGTATGTCACCACCTACGGTCAAGCAATTCTGCTTCACTCCTGGGTATTATAATGGCACACTGTCTTTCTGACTCAGTGTCAGCAACAGTGACAGCTTGAAAGCCTCTGCTGAGCTAAGCTTTTCCAGCTGTCACAAAATCATTCAGCACTTTTCATAGAAAACTTTGGTGGCCTGAGCTTTCTATTCTTATCTGACTTGCTTCCTCTATAATTGTATGTGTCATCCGAGTAGCACTGCGTTCTAGTATTGACAGATGATTAGCACGTATTCTTCCTCTTCTGTGGCCTCCTCAAACTTTATGAACACTGAGCTGCGCATAATTGGAAGAACATGTCTTGTGGGTTGGCGAAAGCCAGATTTTAAACCAAAACCAACATGGTGGCCTGAAATGTGTTGGCAAAAACTTTCGAGATGAAGAATAAACCTAGCAGCAGAATGCAATGCAAGGTTTAGACAGTGAATAAGATCATGTATCCACATAATTCCCTAATTCTTAATGTTTGACTTTATAAATAACTAAATGGATCCTGCATATGTTTTATAGTACAATCTGTTTTGGTATTTGATGATAATATGAACATGTGATCAGTATACTGGTTGTACATTTAGCTAGTTGTACAGTTCAGTTTCATTCACAACTTTCCAAACTAATTTTAAACACTACATCTGCTAAAACAACAACAAGTTATGGTCAGAATAGAAACTGGCTACAATCTAATGAGCCTGCAAACATAAAGTGCTGTGTGATTTTTAGCTGTGCTGTTGAGTATTTCTTTGAGTAAGGCTGCGATTTCATTCGTCATCAAACCTTCTCCAGATCAGGCTCCTCCAGGGCCAGCGCCAGACCGTTGTTGTCCATCACTGAAGACGCTGCGACATCCAGCGGAGTGGAGCCCCGCATAGCTTCAGAGGCTAAACACACACAGAAACAGGCCGTCAGCAACAGAGCAAACTTTGCATTAGTTCTGCATTAAACAACAGGGGGCAGTGTACCGACACAGCACATCAATCTTGATATTCTCCAGTCTGCATCTTTGAAGCTCAGAATACCAGGTCCCATTAATCAGTTTGTCAACACCTGCCCTTTTTGCAATATTACTCCATTTTTAAAGCGTCAATGCAGTCGAGCAGATACTAAAAAACCACTTAATATTGCAGCACAATGCAGACTATGTTACATATTATTAATTTATAAGAAAACGTGGCTTGTAAAAGAGGCAAATTCTAAAAGTGTCATATAAAAAGGGCAACAACTAGTGTGTTTTCATTCAACTGTCCTCTTCAGATCATGTGACCCTGTCCTCTTCCAGAGCCAGGTGCTTTAGTTTACGTGTTACACAGGCACGCAGATCTCTGTGACTCATGTCCTGCTCTGGACGCCTAAATAACCCTCATTTACTGCTCGCCATTCTTCTCTCTATCAGCTGCCTCCCTCTGTGCCCCTTACACTTTCAACTTGATATACTGGCATTTTGAAATCGAGCCTGTTACTCTTCTTCACCAGCTGCTTCCCACAATATCAGCAATAAGTCTGCAGTGAAAAAAAACTGTTGTAGCCCGTAGCAACTATTGGTTTCTGCACACATTATGTAGCAGCAAAAAAATTTAATTGACGCAGTATGGAGAATACTCAGGAACATTCAAATGCCAAGGCATCCTCATAACCAGTGTGTTCTCCACTGTCTGTTTTTGCCCCAGCTTGTTCCTTTCCTTCATATTAAAAAAAAATCTATTCAATTTCAGATTTTTCATGTATCAGGACATAATAAATAAAACCATCTAATCCTCATCAGGTCCTAAAATTAGGTAAATACTTCCTAACCTGTACCATACGTGACAACATAGCAGTATATATTTAACAAAAATTGAGTCACAATGTCAAAGAAGTGTATGAATAACATAAGTACACCCTTACAGATTTCATAGAATTAAGAAGTTGGAGCCACGTGTTGCTCATTGAATGCACCTAATCGTCAGCAAGTGTGAGCACCTCCATAAATGCAGAGGCTTTGCTGGTCTGAAACATTCAGGAGTGTGTTAATGCAATGCCAGGAGGAGCAAAGACAATAGAATTGGCCTAAAGGGACAACTGTTGTTGCCCGTCAATCTGGGAAGGGTTCTAAGACCATTTCTAGTTTGAAGTTCATCATTCTACAGCGAAGAAGATTATTCAGAAGCATACAAAACTTTTCTCAGGAGTGGACATCCCTGCAAACTAATCCCAAGGTCAGACTGTGCAATGCTTAGAAAAAAATGCTAAAAGCCCAAGAGAAACAGGATTTGGGCATGTTGTAGTCATTGAGGCAACCATGAACTCCTTTGTTTACCAAAGCATGTTAGAGTCAAATAGGAAGCCATCTGTCCAAGAGCTACAGCTCAGCTGATGTTGGGTCATGCAGCAGAGCAATGGTCCAAAATGCAGCAACAATTCTACAACATAATGGCTAAAAATGAAAAATCAATGTGTTGCAATGGCCCAGTCAATGTCTTAAGACAGCTGTGCATAAATTAAGTAGAGTTTTTTTTTTTTTCAAATAAATAATGAAAAGGCAAAATATACTTACCCAATCCGACGCTGCTGTTCTCCAGCAGGTAGCTCAGGTGGTCAAACATGGCTTTCTGGTTTTGCCGGCTAATACGGCAGAAATAGCACAAGAAGCGACAACAGCTAGCTACCATCTTGGGGAAAGCGATCTCCTGTGGAAGAAAAAAGTAGACTGTATGGATCAATCTGCAGCCAAATAGCCCCAAATAAGCTGCAGTAGGAGCTCAGAAATATTAGAATTCTTTTTAATGTCACTACAGGATGCAGAGTACTAGATGCTTGGGTCTGATAAAGGTATCTAAACTATCATAAAGAGTATCATGGAATCAATAAATAAAATCTATTTCCTGTTTTGAACACAGAAACTGAAAAATTGTTTGACCTTCAAGCCCTTTTGCATCTAATGCTTTTAGATCTGTGCCATCCTCATTTTTCTAAGTCCTCACATGGGCTCAGTCCAAGCCTCAGGCTGAGTATAAATCACTAGAGTCATTTGCTCTGTAGCAGAAATGCAGAAAAAGTAATTGACAGCAGAGGAGGAGAGAAACCCCCATTTTACTTTAGGCAGATTACAATCTGCAAAAATGCACAGCACAGAAAATCACACTTATCAGACAACTGACAAATATTGAACTTTCAATCATGCCAAAGCTTCCACCTCTAAAGGCAGATTTGACAGAAACTTTGAAAGCACAAACAATTTTACTTTGAGAATATACAGCTTAACAAGTTTCTTTGTTGATTCCCCATATGCGGTCCTGCTGTGCGTGACCGGGAGCAAACTTTCTGTCAGTGTCCGAGTTCAGAGATTTATTCCTTCATAATATTCTATAAACCATCTGTCTTGATTGCGTGATAAAACCTACGACTCGCACAATCTCATAATATACAGCACCATGCCACGACTGAAACAACATCAGCGGTAATCAAACAGCAAATATTAAAAACCTGATCTATATTCACGACTGTCACTGTATATGGCCACAGCGAGCGAGGTACACGTATCAAGTGGCATGAAACCAGTCAGGAATTTATGCTATGAGCCTGTGCGATCACAGTGCCAGAGACAGACACGAAGGTCTGAATGTCTCCCTGAGGTCCGTCTGTCTGAGGTTCACTTCAAGCTTGGCACTGGCTGCAGCATTAAATCGCAACCAGCTCTTCCAGCTTCTGTCAGCACCACCCAAAAAGGACAGGTCTGAGTGGCCTCCTGTCACCCCTCTGATACCTTTACTCCTCTGTCCTCTCTATTACGCTGCGGTTTTTCTGGGTATTAAGCTGTTTCTCTTGGCTCACTTTAGCCTCTTTTGTTTTCCTGAGATCGGTATACAACTTATTAAGCATTAAAAGTTCTGTCAGGCACAAACTCCAAACTCTTCCCCTAAAACTAAGTTTTGTAACAGAAAATTAACCTGCAAATGTTTTGCTAACAGATTTACTGTATGAGTCATTTTGCAAGCAAATATACCCAAAACAAAAACACGCTTGTTTGCGTTCTTTAAAATTGATGATTTGCTCCTCCTTTTGCTACATTTAATTCATAACTGAATATTTTTGGCTTGAAGGCTAATTATTGACCAAAATAAGGAATGTGAGGAAAGTGGGCGGGGCTCTGAACAACTATGGAAACTTCTTTTTTTTGTATTTTGTATAGACAACAGCTTTCATTAACACTTTTCCTTTTATAACCACTTTTTATTAACATAATCTACACATTAATCATCATGATGAATTGTACCCCTAATTATGGTGAAAGAGGCCACATAACGAATAAGAATCCGTCAAAAACATGTACAAACTTCTTTAAAAAGTTATAAACAGGATAAGGAGTTTTAAAGAACTTCTCCAAGAGTTAAGATTGGGAGCTACTATTTCCATACATGACTAAAAAGTTAACAGTTTCAATGAATACGATCCATTAAAAAAGGACTGACTCGATAGTTTGTAGTGGTCAAGGAAAACCAAAAACATGAGCAATGTTAAGCTCACCTGTGACTTGTCTCCCCCAAGCACGTTCACCATGACCTCCATGACTGTCTCATGCATGCCCAGCACTCTCATCAGATTAGGATGCTGGTAGAAAACCTTGTTGTTCATAATGTCGCTAAGAACACAAGAAAGCGATTTATATAGCCCACAGTACTGTAACCGCGGGAGAGTACACTGTTCACAATGATATATTTCTAGAATCGGGCATTGTTTTTATCATTTATAACAGTGTGCGCATCATAATATATTTTCTTACCCGAGCCCATCAATCATGAGTTTCTCCTCTTCCTTGCCCATTCGCACTGATAGCAGAGATCTGATTTGACCCAGAGATGCCAGCAGGTTAATAGCATCTTGCACAGATGCGGCACTGATGGTGTACGACTTCTTCATGGCCCGAAGCAGTTCCCCGATGCCGTCATACTGTCTCCTCAGCAGGCTAAACATCACTCTCACCAGCTCTGAGTCCTGAATGTGAGACTCCTGAGCCCAACTGGTTATGGTCTGGGAGATAAGCTCCTTCAGGTTGGCTGGAGAAGAGACAGTTCAGTATTCTTAAATTGAGAAATAGAAGCAGTAAATAAAGGTTGCTCTACAATCATGTATCTGTCAAAGCTTCAGTTGATTTTTGTTGTCTCTCAAACCTTTGAATGAGCAAATTAGAGAAAAAATAAAAATCTATGGACCGGGCACTTCAAAAGCATTGTTCATTAGGAAAGATGGATGATATGCTCTTTATTTTTTCTCTTTTTGTTCCAGAGATATACAAAGACAAGCTAATTAAACTGTAGTATAGGTTTTAAAACTGTATATTTTAAACTTTATCTTAAAGTCTCATGAAACTTCCCTCTTAAGGATGCCAAGCACCAATAAAACAAGGACCAGTGGAGAAAAACTTGAAGTCATATGAAGTTGTAGCTAAATGCTGCACCTCTCAAAACACTGCAATTCCAAAGCCATCGCTGAACCTTGAGCGTTTAAGCCAAATAGCGCAACATCTGCTTAAAACAAAGGGCCGGATTCAAGCAGAATCATAATGAGACACGAGACGGTGTAGATGCCCTGAAGGTGAAAGTGTTGCAAATTCACATCTGCTCTGAATCATCTCAAACCATGGCTCACAAGGGAGTCACTGAAATCTTATGCAGTCTGCGTGCTAATCTGCAAATGACAGGCAAAAATATAGAGACATGAGCACTGGCACAGCGCTGTACTCCAAAGTCAGCATAAACCATGAACTGAATTGGCTTAATTAAAGCTCTTAGAAAATGTAAATTAGTCTATTAGTCAGAACTAATTGGGAGCTTTAATATTTTGTCAATATATTGGATGTAACCCCACAATCATCTCCTGATGAGTCTATGAGGATGCTGACAGCATATCTGAAGCACGCTAGAGTGATGCAGGAATATAAAGAGAGGAACAAACAAATTTAATCACAAGCCAAGGCGGTTGATATTAAAGCTGGCATTTAAATCTTGGAAATAAGCTCCTTAGCTGTTGGCAAACTAAAAAAAACCCAAAAAGCCTTATGGATGATTCCAAGTTTTTATAACTTCTGAGTAATCTGACTAATTAAACAATGCTGTGAAATCAACAATAGGCGCTTCGATGCTTTTCATCAAAAGAATAAGGAAGCAAAAGTTTTAGAGACAAATTACTGGCTTTAAAGTTTTATAACAGTGAATGAGCGTTACCGTCAGTTAATGAAAGTAATCATCCCCATCCCAAAAGGACTGACTAGGCATTAATTATATATAATCTGACATATAAAGATCCGACAATAAAATTACACGTTGAAAAAATTAGCAGCTCTAACTTTGTCAGGCAAGAGAAGCAGCTTATTTCGCCCATCCATCCTTTTGTCAGACTGCTTCATCAATTTATTTGATGAACAAAACAGACTCTGACAATGCTGCAACGCTGAGTCAAGTGAAAAAGCAGAATTCAACCCATATTTCACTCACAATAGAACACAGCAAACGTGGTAAAAGTTTAAAATGTGAAAATGTACACTTTGAAGAAAGAAATAAGGTTATTTTTTTAATATTTCATGCCAGCCAAACCTCTCCAAAAAGTTGAAACTGGGCCATGTTTACCACTGTCAGGTGACAGTCTGTTAATGTCTGGGAGCTGAGGAGACTAGTAATAATGTCCAGTGGTCTGATAAGGGATTCTAGGGATTCTCTTAATTTTAATGATGTGTCCAAAGTTTCAGCTGGTAAAAGATCTGGACTACAGGCAGGCAAGTTCAGTATCTGGACTCTCCAACTATGAGAGCATACTGTTGTAATAGATATAGTTTGCAGTTTAGCAGCATCTTCCTTAAATACACAAGGACTTCTCTGAAAAAGATGGCATCTGGATGGGTGAATATGTCCCTCTAAAACCTGCATATATGTTTTAGCACTCATGGTGCCTTTCCAGATTGGCAAACTGCCAGTTCCAGAGGCAGTAATTCACCTCCATACAATCAGAGATGCAGTTTTCCACTTTTCTTTAGCACATTTTTAATGAGCTTTGGCCCAAAGATGGTGGTGTTTATGCATTAATTTTACATGTGGATTCTTCTTTGCATTAACCTGCATTTGTGGAAGTGTATTCACAGACAAAGATTTCCCCATCCAATACTGACACCGTTAATTGTGGATTGGTGAAACTTTGTCTCTCTCAGACGTTACGTTTTTTAAATTATTTATTTTTTTTATATCCAATCATGTTACTGATCTATTGCATGTTAATGTAATTAGTTGCAAAATGTTCCTCCAACTGTTTTTTTGTACCACTCACTTTTCCAGCTTTTTGTTCCTCTGTCCCAACCTTTTTCAGGCACATTACTACCAAATATTTCAACATAAGCTTATTTTTTTCATGATATAATAAAATGACTCAAATCAAATATTTAAACTATTTTCTATGTTCTATTGTGAATAAAATACAGTTCATGACATTTGCAAATCATTGCATGCCGTTTTTATTTAAACTTTACTTAGCATCGCAACATTTTTGGAATTGGGTTTGTAGACATGCTAAAGCAGATCCATCAGGATAATCTTGAATCAGAACATCCGTCCATTTATAATGCTTTTGAATAATGCAGGCTGGAGCAAGGTATTAAAATTTATGGCAGACAGTCTTGCAGGAACTGTCCATTAGTCTTATTCTATTATTTGAAACAGAACAAAAACATACTTTGAGCAAAGGGCAGCAAAAAAGAAAAAGCTTGAAGCAAAGAACTAGTGATTGGAAAGTGTTTTGTGGTCTGCAATATTTATTATGGATAAATCGGTACCGCTTTATGATTTTGAATGTCAATATAATATTTAATGCTAAACATAGTTATGTGGTATATGTTTAGAAACTGATAGCAACCACAATAAAGTCCTGCTTACGTGTTGCAGCACCAAGATAAACAATTGAAATAATAAACCTTAGCCTTGCACTGCCGTATGGATTGCTGAGTTATTGTTAAACTTCAGTACAGTTACTGGTCGCTAGCTTGTTTTCTTCTTTGGTGTTAAAGGCTACTTACTGGGGGCAGCCTGTTCAGTCTCTGTGGGTTCCTGCTCCGTCTTCTGTGGTGGGCCCTTGATTTTATACAGTAAAGCCAGAAGACGGCCTTTAATTGAAGTGTCCTGTTCTTCTTCTTCTTCCTCCACTGGAATTCCTGCCAGGAGAAATGGAGGCGCTCAGAGATTTATCCTGGTATACCGACTGCTTCCATGTGCATTGTGTAAAGGAAACAAAAACCCATTTTAACGATCATTCTCATAACATAAACATATTTATGTTGCCAGATAATATTAACTTAATTTGCAGAGCACTTTTTACAACACACAGTTACATAGTGCTTCACATTTTAATAAAAGAAGTGTTCCCAGCATGCAAGCAGACAATCATAGAATAGTATAGGTTCTTCTTACATTCATTCACACATACATTCATTCCATACAAGCAGTCGGTGCGAAGAAGATTGGGGAATATAATAACATACTGTATAAAATGATTTTTCCGCAGTCATTTAAAACAAACAAGTCCAAAATTAGGTGCTACAAGCTCTGGATTTAAATTAAGAGTGTGAACCAACCAGAAGTCTCTGATCAGATGATCAGAGAGACAGGCTGCTGGAATAAGGTCTTTGCTGGTCTGTAACGTAAGAAGAACCCTGGCAACTTACAGCTCAGAACCTTTTTAAATATTAATTCAGAGTTTCACTTGAATCCAAACGAGTGAAGCTACAATGTGTATGTATCCTTTGTGTATTGTCATCACAAGAACTGCTCAGAGAATCTTATTAATATGAATTCTGAGCACCACAAAGAATAAAATCTCAAAGAAGTGGGGTGGAGGTGGGATGCAAAGTGCAGATGTGCAGCAACTGTTGGCAGAGATTTTCTAGCAGAGTCCTCAACTTATTTTTGAGGACAGTGTTTTAGCTCGACTTCATGGCCTGTCTGAATAATGCTATGGTTAGTTTTGTGTGACAAGATGTCCTTATCAGAAGATCTACAGTGACACCTTTAGACATTTATGAACAGAAATGCATAACATCTTTATACAAGTTGTATCAACAACATTAACTGTCAGCAGTTGGACTTTACCACAATGCAGCCGCAGTTCTTCATGGAACGAGTTGAGCTCATCCTGGATCTCCACGGGACAGGGGCAGTCCTCACCTGCACTGAAATTCAACAGGATGTTTATCTGCAGAAAACAAAAGAGTGTTTACATTATAAGACCAGAAAGCACTTGAGAACAGCAACACGGAAAATAATTTTAGATAGGAAGTGAGATCAAAAGAAGGAAGGAGAGTGGTAAAGAATGAATAAAAGAAGGATTGCACAGTAGAGAGCAGTGGAAAGTCTCAGAGGCAAGCACATTACCATTTTAGAGTCACAGCATAATTACTCATGTAGTCTCCTGCGGTAAGTGCTCACATGGGCTTGTCAGATAGTGGCCATCTGATGAACTCAGACAGAAATAGTCTGAGCATTTTTATATCACACCCAGTCAAATGTGAAACTAAAAACATTAAACAGGTATTTACATAATATAATGCAGAAAATACTTAATGTATCATGTAGAACCACAGATCTGCTGTGCTTGCTACAGGTCACAAGTTAACTATAAAACACTAAATATAAATGAGATGCATCCATCGCAGAGTCCAGGTTAGCCTATTCCCATGTCTATTTTAGGCAGAGCTTTTTAATAAACCACGGGAGGTTTCTTATTGTGGAGAATCTCGCTTACAGTATGCACCTGCTGCTGACCACCACAACTTAGTTTCAGGGATCAGAGTATATCTTGGAAGTGCTTATCCTCAAGGTTTCACAGCTCAGAGGATGCACAATTAAATATTTCAAACATGAATGCTTTGCAGTCATGCAGAAACCTTGTCTAGTCATTACCAGGTTGTTTTCAACAATACTACAGGACAGAGCAAGCGATGTGAACACAGAACACATCAGAGACTTTATTCCTTATTTTCTTTCCTTATTTACTCAATGTTTCCTATTCTCTAGTCTGGCTCAGAGACATGCTACAGTTTACATAAAAATATACTATCTAGCAGAACACTGGATATTGGATTTTCACAGCAGCGTAACGCCGTTTTGTTTTCTTCTGGCTTGAACAGACAATGACCTCCAGATCGTACTGAAGAGATTTTCAGTGAAGTGGCAAGAATGGTTCTCTAAGGCCATGGTCCTCAGCCAGAAAAGGGTGCAGTCCCTCCTCTGGGTTGGAGATGAGTTTCTGCCCCAAGTGGTGGAGTTTAAATATCTTAGGGTCTTGTTTACAAGTGACGGGCGAATGATTGACTGAGATTGACAGATGGATCAGTCCTGCAGTGATGTGGACTCTGCACTGATATCTTCTTGTGAAGAAAGAACCAATTGAAATAGTTTGGGCATCTGAACAGGATGCATCCAAGAGCTCTCCTAGTTGAAGTGTTGCAGGCAAGTCTCAACCAGAACATGCTTTAGAGATATCGGTTATATCTCTCAGCTGGCTTAGGAACACTTTTGGTGTCCCATTAGATGAACCGTATGTCTGTTTAAAGTGCTCCCCTGAATAGACTCTGCAACCCAGAAAAGCAGTGATGGATGGATGGATGGATGGATGGCATTTTTACTTTGATAAACTTAAGATTTTGCAAACATTTTTCACAATGGTCTATAGAAAGGTTCATTAATCATGTGCCAGTTGTTTAAGTTCATCTTCTGCTTAAACATATTTGACTTATAAAAAAATGAACCCACTGTAACATAAAGTGCTCCTGTGGGACTAATAATAATTTTACCCTGTAAGAGGCCAAAGGTTTAACTATCACTGCAGGGCCAATTCACTCCTAAGTTAATTTTAGCTGCACATATGGCCCAGTTTATCCTTCGGGAATTCCAGCAGAAAATAAAGTTAAGAAACTGAAAACTAAAAGGCAATTAGAGAACTGCAGCACCTTGTGTTCTAGTGTTTGCCTCTGACTCTGTTCTATTCAAGGTCATTGATTTTGTTTTTACCCCAAGGTCTAGGCGATCCGTCCAGGGTCTTATGACAGTATGCAAACGGAAACCACCTTGAACATAAATTACATCTCAGAGAGGATGGAAACACTTTCTCATACACTGGCCCCTCTGCGGTGTTGTACCTGCTCCTGCGGAGGTGAACGAAACTCTTTGGTCTTTTTGGCAGTGACAGCGGCAGACATGTTGAGAGCCAGCATTAGCTCATTGTAGCGGAACTTCTGATTGTACTGCAGCTTGGACACGAAGCTGTCGGAGAAGGAAACAATGGATTCGATGCGGTGCTTCAGCTCGCAGTCACAGAAGTAGTGGAGCAGCTCACACATCTGAAAAGGACAGAAATCTGTGAACAACTCAAAGGTTTTCTGTTTCTTTATGTCTCTATTGGTTTTGATTTTGTTTGTTTCACTGTATGAATGACATTTTTTTGATTTAACTTCATAGCTCCATCTCCATTATGCATGATTATTATTAGCAAGTTTTAGTCATTTATAGAACATTAGTATTCAGCCACTGCCTCACTTTCTACTCATGAATTCATCTCTCAGCAAGTGATAAATCATAAAAAAATCAAAACTGCTGACAAATGGGGAATTAGTGTACCTAATCTCATGAAGACAAAATTAAATTTTAATTAAAACCTTGGCAGATAAATTGATGGAGTTAGTTTAATTCAGCTATTTCCTATCTTCAGTTTATCACTGAGCTTAATCATCTGTGCATGATTATTGTCATCACCTGGCGTTTGACAGACTCTGGCAGAGACTTCTCCAGCAGGCCTTTAACTTGCGGTTTGCTCTCCTTGGTCTCTTCCTCCCCTGCTTCTACAGCCTTCTCCTCATTCTTGCTCACCTCCTCCTTCTCCCCTGACACGGCCACCTCATCCCCCTTAACTTCCTCACCCTCTTTGGTCTCTCCGAACACATTGGGGTCGATCAGGAGGAGAATCAGCCTCACCTCATCACTGGTCAGGACTCCCATTATTAACAGCGTTCCAATCAGTTTCAAAATGGGAACAAACTGGTACTCAAGACTCCCGCCTACTGGGTCTCGGATGTGTGTCCCTCCACCTTGCACTGCCTCGGTTAGCATGCTGATGGCTTTTTCCTTTAGGATGCCCAATGGGATCTGGGGGCTGTAGAGGAACTGTTGGCGTTTGGTGTTGATGATTCCCACAGGGGAGAAATTGACCCGAGGTTTAAGGGAGGTGCTTAGGTCCACCCCAGGAAGTGAATGTCGCTTGGACTCATCTGGGAACAGCTTGATGGAGCGCGTTTCATCCGTCACAGGGATAATGAACTCGTTGTTCATCATTAGACGGGCTTCCTTTGCTGTCTCAAGATGAATGCTGACAATAAGTAGAATTAGTTCAATCAGAGCATGAGTAAAGACACTGGCTATTACAAAAACACGCAGAAAAATGATTCATGATCTCTCCTAAGAACTATGAATTATGCTGTATTAGTATGATTTCCACAAACCAACAGTACCCAATAACCACAATACATCTGTAAGAGATAGTAGTTGTGGTGATGAGTGCCTGACAAGCAAATAAGGTGCTGATTGCTCAAACTCTGTTACTCATAATCAAATTTCTTAAACCAAACCCTCCCGTTACAAAGGCTTTAACAGTCACTGCTTAAAAGTGAATTTTCAGCAATATAGAAGGTACACATGAGTTTGCTATTTGACATCATGTGAAGAAAAGACAGTTTAAACAACAACACTGAGATGTGAGGTGGAAAAACAAACACGGCAGAGGGATTATTAAGATTTATAGCACAAATTTGCTCAGTGATCTCACGTAATGCTGCATCACTTTAACAGTTAATGTTGTTGCAGATGACACTGTCAAATCATAATTCTATCATGTATCATCATTAAATGATCCGATGAGTAAAAACACTGCAGCTTTCTTCTTGTTTTGATGCACGGCGGGTCATTGACTGAGGTCATTTTTTAGTAAGATAAATTAAAAATCAAAATTCACACCAGCTGAGCAATCCATAGCAACTTACATTTTAAGTATATAAAATATATCGAAACACACCAACACACCTGATAAGGACATTGTAGAAGCCCTCTCTCAGCATGCCAGAGAGGTACTGATTGTCGATTGTGTAGAGGAGCTGTGATTGGTCCAAATGGCTGCAGAGGGCGTGAGCTACACGAGTGTTTCCCAGTGCACAAAGGGCACAATACAGCTTTAGTGTGTGGTAGTGGAACTTCCTTAAGTCTTCGTGCTCAGATAACTCCATTATGTCCAAACACCTGCAAACAAAGACACCACAACAACAAAGTAAGCTCGAGTAAGTCATTTACTCCAAAGAAAGACTTTGCCTGTTTACTCATCTTTCTCATCATTAAAACTTATTTTCCAGTATGTATTCTGATATCAGAACACACAAATACACATGCTACGAAACAAGAGTTCATCCATGGGGCCGCAAAACACATTAGAAACCTCTTAGCATCTCAATCCATCACAGTCTGCAGTTAACATGAAAATTGTAGCACTGTGCATAGAATTGACTGAGATTACTTTATATGATGTCACATTATGTGTGGTTTGTAGTTTGTCGCCTTAATGTTATGTCCGCTTACAGGAGTCTTTCCGTGTTAAAATGCACATTTGAATTGTATGAAATAGGAACCATTGAAGTTACTAGACCATTTTTAAAGTCCATGGTCCATGTCAATTATTTGGTCAGACACATGGATGCAGCAACAGCAATTAAAAGTGTGAACATTTGTGAAACATTAGTAGTGTAGCCCTAAATCTATCTAAAAATGGAATGACAGGCTTGATTAAGTGTATAGGCAAAAGGAGAATATTCATTGTGATTATGATTCATCTGGGCAAAACTTTAAAGTCTTTGTTAGCAGCTACCTTCAATTTAATTACAGTGACCCTCACCAGTGAGTACTCAGCCCAGGTAGTGTCAAGAAGTGTTTGTTCTGGAAGCAGCTAATCTGTCTTAAATGTGTTTCATCAGCCCAATTCACAGTAAAGAATGAATGACAAGTATCTATTGTTACTCAATCATTTGTCTATGGAAGCTAATTTAAGTGCTATAAATGTGAAAAGACACTGAACGCACTACATCCTCCCTAACAACTCAAGGGAACACAAAGTAACACGTTGTAAGTGAAACAGTCACTTGTCACTGTTTATACGGTTTATAGAGTATTATAATCACACCTGTTTTCTTCAGGTATGTGTACAGCCATCATCTGCATAGGCTCCAGACACTGGACCACCCAGCCATGTCTTTCACTAACACGAGCCGTCTCCACATTGAGAAAGGTATTGGGCATCCGGCTCCAAAGCACTGCCACAATTGTCTGCACATCCAACCGTGGCGGACACTGTGGCACCGGATTCCTGTGCTCGCTCTTGAATATGGCTGATGAGAGTGGCATGGCATCCTGGGATTACAATGAGGACAAGAAGGAAAAATCACATTAAGTAGAAAATTTGATTAAATGAAAACTATATTAATATCTGGTTATATCACATCCTTTCAGTCAATAGTGATGCAATCAGTTATTTTTATATACGTAGTGCTTTCTGTGACATCCTTTCTTCACTGTAAATATGTATATTGATTACTAGTTTTCCAAACACACACAAAATTAATCAGTGCAAGAGCATCCTAAATGGGTCACCAAGTCAAAATATAGGCCAGCTGGGCAGTCCATGACTATGAATGAATGGCATTAAAAATTCAACACCTCTTAATTAGTGTGAGGAAGATAAAGTACATAGCTGTTTCATAACTCGATGAAAAGTGCTTAAAACTGTGTACAGTGTTGTTTGGTTAGGACAGAAACAAACCTTTATCTTAACAAATTCAAACTGGAAGAGGTTTGCACTGGTGGGGAGGACAAATACAGCAGGGAAGAGCTTGGTATTTGGTTCCACCTGAAAGTAAACAAAGCCATACTTATCCACATCAGCCTATCCCATGTTTACAGCAGCACCAAAATGAGACAAAAGTGCAGCAACACATGCAGAACAGAGCTCTTTCTTGAACCCAGCCCATGGTGGAATCTGAAAATTTATATATTTAATGCAATGAGCACTGTGCTTGCCTCGTGTTTGCTCTGGTGGCAAATTCAACTAATGTCAGAAGGCTTTTAACCCCTAAGCTTGTGGATTAGCTGAAGTTTGAAATCCAAGTTCAATGAGTATTAGCTGGTATATCGATGACAACCATCACAGACTTTACAAAGAAAGAGAACAAACAACCAAAGCTTTGATGCAATAACAGGACAAGAAGCTTTTCATCAGGTTAAAAGCCTCCTGGTTCCCTCAGAGGGCTTTCCCCTTCTTAAAAAGCCAATTCATGACTAAATAAAGCAGCGAGAAGAAAGGAGAGAAACAGGAGATTATGCAAGATAAAAAAAAAAGGAGAACACAGGCGGTAGAAGATTCTCAGTGCACCATTTCAGTGTCTAGTCAGGCATTCAATGTGATGCTTTAAAAACCAGAGATGAGGACAGCAAGCAAGGCATGGATTACTGAGCCGATGTCTGTCTTTGTATGACTAGTTCACAAAACAGATGAGAATTCAGCGGCTTAATTTCCCAACTCTATCTCTCTGCAGGTTTAATTTGCTGTGGCACAAATGAATTAATGACACCTGAAAGGATTAAAGGAGGGAAGATCGTTCTGAGAGTGTGTGGGCAGTACAAATATGTGATGAGTGAAATCGTTTGAGAGAGATATTCATTTAAGGCAGTGACTCAAACTGCTTAGAGTTTCTTTTCTTTTTGCGTTCAGGATATTAAAAAAAACAAACAAACATGTGTGCCAAAGCAGGGGAAGAATACTAAACCACAAGAGAAAGTCGTAATAGCTTACGTCTATTGAAGTTTACGAGCCAAACCTTGTGCTTCACTCCTCTGCCAACTGATTTCTATTATACTTACTTACCTGATATGATGTGGGGAGCTCTTTGCCATTGGCATTGAAGGAGACAAGGCCAGTGGCCAGGTCAGCCAAACAGCCAATCTCCAGGTCGGAGCTAGAGCGGCTGGACGAAGACGGGGTAACTGCGTCTGCTACACACACCATGTAGCAGTTACTCCTCTGAACACTGCGGCAAAGCAACCACAACAAGAACTCAGCATCAATAAATACAAGTAAATGCAAAAATGCAGAGGACAACATAGGCAACTTGGGGAGGTGGGGGGGTGTCAAATAGGAGGCACAATAAATTTTCATTTGGTCAACACTCATTGATCTTTTGCCTCATTCATATTTGTTACACACAGAGGCCATCTTCCCCATTTACCTCCACGGATGCTAAATAAGGATGAAAACCAGCTATGAAAAGATGACTGAAATGTTTTTGTTTGGTCTGTCTAAAATAATTGTGAGCATGTTCGCCATACTGATCAACACATAGCGATGACACAGGTATTAGTGGTATAAACTTTGAAATGCATGCTTTTTTAAATTACGAACATACATTTGCAAGGATGGGTTATCCCCGGATGGCAGTCATTTAAAAAAAATGAATGGCCATATTATTTGCTTTGCTTTTAACTAGCTTTCAAGAGAGCTTGGAGCATGCTAAGGGATTTTTTGTTGTAATATTTTTTGATGTTTGTGCAGCTCAAATTGGATTCCTTCATATTTGGTCACAAATGCAGCTACATTTAGAATTTACTAGTAAAAAGGTAATATTTCAATGCCTATAAGACATAACACAAAAAATAATCTGATCCTTAGGATCCTTATCTAAAATTGTTTAAATACAACCTCACGTGAACAACAACAGTTAATGGCATATTAAACTGTATCATTATTTATTTCAAAAATACTAAGAAATAAGCCAAAATGTAGAAGCAGTGTGTGGAGCGGGTAGAAGCACATTTAGCAGCAATAACTATATTAAAACTACAGGAAAAATGCTGTCATGAGAAATCAAAAAAGTTATTAAGGAAGGTATCACCACAGAATGCACTTCTGAAAGCACATGTCCCACTGGAATATTAAAGCCTCTTCAAAAAAAAGGATCAAACATTTCATATGAACTCCAGATATTAAAAATGAAGGGAGCATACCTCTCATGGACCCTGCCCCTCTCATCTCCCAGCGTCACTGTGACCGTGCGCGTTTTGCTGAGGCTGAAGTTCTTGCTATAATAATGATAGTCGGGTGTGACCCAGCCCACCCACACAGAAGCAGGGTCCTGTCCAGCAAACACTCGCACTGAGTAGTAATACTGCCAATTAAAAGAAAAAGGGCAAACAGTGCTATCGGTTAATCTGAATATACAGAGAGAAATACTATAGTTTTTTTTTTTTTTTATTTGAGAATCTATGTGGATTTACAGTTGTGATGCTTCCAAAGTCAATACTTCCATCTTCTTTTGGAGGATGGCTGCGGAAACAAAAAACATGACAGTAGATTTAAGTTATCTTAAACACTCTGGGCTTTATTTTTTAACTTTAAGTATAAATTGAGATGTCTGACCTGAGCTTCAGTGATTCATCCAGGAGCTTGTCTGCAGAATAAAACTCCACAGGCATGCTCAGTCTACAGTAGACCATGTCATTGTTGCTGTTTTGAGTGCCATACGTCTTGTGAGTGACCTTAAGGCAAGGAGGACTGTCGACTGTTCCGTCAATCCTCGTCACCTGAGGAGTTAATGAAACCCAAAGCGAGGGATCAATAATATCAATGTGCCCATTAACACCAGCTCTAGTGTTTATTATAAAAAGCTCTCTAGGATAATAAAAAAAAGCAAATCTCAACTCTAGCAGCAAACTTAAAAGGCAATAAAAACACTAATGATATTGAGAATGTGTGTACCTCAATATCAGGGTGGTACTCAGGTACATTGAAAAAAGTGGGCAGGCGCTTGCTGAACCACATGGTGACCTCTCTGTTCATGTTAACAGCAAAGGGCTCAAAACCCTCCTGTAGACCACACATGGTGTAGTACTTGAAAGTACTGGCGTCCTTGCCCAAGTTCATACGGCCGATCTGAGACATGCGGAGACTGCACACGGGGATGAAACCTGGTGTATTTAGAAAATGTATTATTTTAACATGTGCATTTTATATTGTCGTTTTACAAATCAGAAACATGTTAAAAAAATATATATAAAAAAAAAAAGAACGCCAATGGTTTACATGCATGTACGCAACAGGCTTTCTTGAATTCTGTACTTCTAAAAAAAATTTAACTTCCTTTTTTCTTTATCCACCAAAACTCAAATGTCATATGTTTAAGAATCTATCACTTATGAAATCTAAAAACAAACTAACAACTTTACTTTATTCCTGTGTGACCATCTTCTTCCAAAGTCAATGGTTCATTTACAGAGTAATGAGCCAGTGTCACAAAGGACTTAATTAAAATGAAACACTCTTATCATTTTAAGCTTTTCTTAAAATCTTATGCAAACAAACCAAGTCAAACTCCCAGTGACACTTTGAAGGAAACAGGCAGAATAAATGAAGTTGGCTTGAAATACAAAGCCCTCACCATCCTCTGTCTCAAAGTCAGTGAAGCAAAGCTCGGATCCTTTACTGGTGATCAAGAGTTCTCCGTTGAGGGTGAAAATCATGGATTTGTCCTCCATGTTGATCATGCAACCAACCACGTCGCCCTTTTTCCAAGGCTGTCCAAAGTAGCGGCTGCCTGCATGCATACGTCGTCCCTTGAAAAAAAAACACAACAAGAATCACATGTTTTTGTCTTTGCTAATAAATGGAACAACAATGTTGCTTCAGTTTCTGTGACTGTAGGTATTGTTAAAATGTAAAAGATATAATATACGGTGAAATCCTGAATTTAGAAAGTTTATGGCTGAACTACATATATCTTGTTACTCTTATAACCATTCCGTAGTCTCATTTTTATATTCTAATTAGTGTAGCAATGTCCATGACGATACATCTAAAGTATCTAGATCTTTCAAAAAGTTGCCTTCAGACAACTTCCCATGACTAGTTTAAAAGAAAGGATACATGCAGTTTACCCGATATCCATCAAAGACGAAGGCTTGGTCATCTACTCCGAGCTCCACATCAGGTCTGCAGCCTGGTCTGGCCCAGCCAACCCTCATGTCTCCTCCACTCAGAGCCTCAAACTCAAAGTACCACTTCCCCGTCTTCACCGCGTAGGTCTGCTCCACACGGAAGAAGCGTATCGTCTCGATGCTCTGATCATCAAGCATGTGCACAACTTTAGGCAAAGATACGAAAACCAGAGGATTTAACACCATGGATACACGTGCTCGTATTTTCAGTACTACTATTAGACTTTACAATCAATCCATAGCTATAATGAGGATTCGTCAGTGCCGGCTTTCAGATTGAAGAAATGTGTAAAAATATTGCATGCATAACTATGAGTTATACTACAAATATATGTGGTACATTAGCAAAATCTGTGCGCTCCTAAACATTTACAAAACCTTAGGTGAAAGCAGTGCTGTTGCTGTAGCCTTTGAACATACAGTAGATGGTCCTGTATCAGTTTTAAGAGCTTTAAATGACTGCGGTGTCAGCGCCAGGGTCTCACCCTCTTGATCTGGGGGGTCGATCTCATATCCATATCCAACCATAGTCCTGATAGCTTCTCTCAGACTGTCCCTGTTAGATTTTTTGGTGCGTTCATCCAGTAAAGCATATGGCACCAGGCGAGGATTACGCCTGCTCTTCAAATCCTACCACAAACAGTGACAAGAAACTGTACTAGTGGACTAAAGTCATTTAAAATTAACGGTAAAAACAATACATGAGTTTCATTTTCTCCATTTCAAATGCTGCATGAACTTTACCTGCTGGATGCCATAGGTCCATCCTTGTTTAATTCTATCTTTGGCCCACACATTGTGCGCATTTTCGGCCAGTTTATCAACTAGAACCTCTTGACCAGCATTCAGTCTCACATCAGAGAGTTCCAGTGGCGCAGGCTTATATCCATTGGACATCATGTAGCTACAGATGATATTGATAAGATAAGATACGGGTATCTTACAACCCAAATTTTCCCAAAAAGTTGGGACTCTCTATAAAATGTAAACTAAACAAAGGGCAATGATTTGCTGATATATTTTTTTCAAAAACATATTTTAATCGCAACGGAGCACAGAAAACATTAAATTTAACTGGCAAAATCTAAGATTTTAAGAAATTATTAGTTTGTTTTAAATTTAATGACAGCAACACATCCCCAAAAAGCTGGGATAGGGTCAGAATCATCCTTTCTTCTTTTAACGACAGTCTGAGGAGACTGCTGTACCTCTGAGAGGAATGTAGTTTCATTCTTGTCTGATATAAGATTCTAGCTGCTCAACAGTCCCGCGTATTCGGTCATGGTTTTTTCACATAATGATGCTTTCAGCTGGTGAAATGTATGTCTTGCTGAAACATGGAAAGGCTTCCCTGAAAAAACCCAAACTAAAACAATTTGTTTTCCTTGCTGTAAGTAAATTATGGATTTTCAGATCATTGCATTTTGTTTTTATTTACATTTTACACAGCATTCTAAATTTTTTAGAACTGGGTTTGTACGTAAAAAAGGACACTGATTATATAAATGCCTCTAAAATTCAGCATTTTTTTTGTTGTATCCGATAAAAAGATACATAGAACTATAATATAACTTAAATTTATAGGAAGTCTTACTTTTTGGGTAATTTGATTTTCTTCAGATCCTCTTCAGCGTGAATATTAACCTGGGCAACATGGCATCCCAGGGCTAAAAGGGTCCTGAGGATAAAAGGAAATGTGAATAGGAAGAGCGAGAAAGTCTATAACCAGCATCGATATTCAAGCTTCATTACATTATGTTAGATGAAAATGATTCTTCTGAGTGAGTTCTAAATTTTTAACACTGTTCATTAGACACTGATAAATCTCCTCCGATCAATATAATAACACAGAACAGCACTCAGGTTGGGTTGCGTGGAAAAATGCCATTTGGGTCTCAAACTAGATGTAATTGACAAACTGCATACCCAGTTAAACTTTCCTCTAAGAGGAGGACGTTTTATTGAGCCAAGCCAAATGTTTTTACAGTGAGATGACTCAGTAGTTGGCTCAAATAAGCTTTGGATCCAATATTTGTTAAAAAAAATCAATAATGGAATTCACTCAGGAGATGCAAGTCATTACAAGCACCGCTTTAATCTTAGCCTTATCTGCGTCTGCTCAGCATACAGGAGGGAGCTTCAGAAAGAAATGAATAGGTAACTGGATTATCCAGAGGACAGCCCAGGCCTTACTTTAGGGTTTCACTGGACATCTGCAAGTTGTAGTTCCTTTCAGTTTCAGGCAGCTTGGCGAAATCCACAAGGCAAGGGTGCTGCCTCTTGTTGTCATCACGAACCTGAAAAAAAAAAATGAAAAAGGTAGCAGTCAGGTGTTACTACTGCATGTGTCATCTCACCACACCCACTGTTTGCTCTATGAACCTTCTTGTCTTATAGATTTATAAGCAAAAATGGCTCAGAATTCAGAAAATAAAAAGTGGACCGCAGCTGAATTTATCTGCAGTTGTTGCTCAGAGATGCAAATTTTGTTTGTTTTTCTCTGCCTAATTCAGGCCTCAGGTGTTGATTTTTTTCTTTCCTTTTTTAAATAAAGTGAAATAAGCCCAGTTCAGAGAATAGACTCGCAGTAGCTCGGCTATCTGTGAGAGTGGATGGGAGGAAATTTACAGCTGCACGCAGACTCTCAATAAGACGCTGCCAGTGACTCCTCCTGATAATGCACTCTGCTGCTGACAGCAGTTAAATAGAAATGAAGTGCACACGGGGTATGAAAAATACACAATAAACCAATACACAAAGATACAAAGCAATGATGCTGCATTCAACTTTATTATTACTGAATCTTCTGTTTGTCCAGAGAGTCTTGGGTTGTGTGCAATGTCACTCTGAGCTCCCTGAGCTTGTTACAGCAAAATGAAAACATTAAGCAGCTGCTTGGACCTAACGATTGTCCCTAAAACTATAGGACCTCGGCTAACCCCAACTGAAGCTTTCTCCCAGCCTTAATTAATCTGAATGTCATACTCTTGGAAGGTGAGACGCTCATTAAGTTTGTTAAATGGCCGCTGTTGCGATGACAGTCTCGGTGGGAAATGATTCTGTGATAACCACACTACAGTACAAAAGAGGCAGCATGTGTGATCAGACTTCTAACAAGCTGTTCCGCAGTAAACAGGAGTGACTGACAGGAAAATGATGAGAGAATGATAGAGGAAAGCAGTGCAGACAGGAATGATTAAAATGTCTTTAGATACAGAGGACTTCAACTATAGTTACACTGAGCAATTTAGAGATTGACAAACAAGCTCAGTAACATAAAATTAGATACTCTGCATGAGTTGATTTGGCACCGTGTCAATTAAAGGATTTTTTTTATTGCTTGTTGGAGTTTTTCTAACATTGATGAACTTTATTACAGATTTGCTTTTTTGAGGTTAAGCTTGAATCTTGCATCGCTCTATTTTAAGTTTTTGTTGTTTGCTTTTTGTTAAGTTTTGGATAAAACATGTTATTTATTTTCAACCTTTCATTTAAAGCAGTGAATAAATTTAACTCCCAGTTTAATCAATTAATGGCACATTTAATTAATTATTTAATGATGTATTTCATAATTCTGGCACTTATGGCCCTCCACAGTTTTCATTATTCACAAGCGTATTATGTGTAATACTTTCTTGGGAGAGATCAAGTGTTGCCATACAGCTGAAACCCTCCTCCTTTCTATGAAAATAAGCACCTCTATGTTACAGGCAAATTAGAGAAATTTGAATGCAAACACTAACATGCAAATATTGCGTGGATCCAATCCACTTTATCTATGTTCTTATGTCTTACAAACACTCATACTTTCTGAAGCAGTGAGATCTTCAGACGCCATTGCTGACATATTGCTGCCTATAAAGGAACAAGCCCTGAAACGTTCTTCATAAAAAGAAAGTTTTTTGGATTTCTCGACACACTCTGAAGCTCGACACATTACGTCCCATCACTAGTGAGTAAGGTTTACTCAGTTGTAAGCTTAACAATTTTTCGTGAGTGTCATTTTCTCCCTCTAGCTATATATGTTAACAGGCCATTATACCTGTAGTCAGGGACTGAAATCTTCAAATTAATGAGCCATTAACGAGCATTTCAATTTTGACCACTTGAGTTGACCTTTATCAGTGTTTCCAGACATACCAGATAAATATATTCCAGGTGAATCACAGGTTTACCTTGCCATAAGTCCAGCCCAGTTCAATCTTGTTCATCCCCCACAGTTCGTGAATGTTTTCTGCCAGCTTGTCCCGGATGTTCTCCAAGTGAGGGGGAAGAACAATCTGCAGAGAGAAGGGGAACAGATGGTACAGTTGGATTCAAAAGGATGCTGGACCAAAAAAAAAAAAAAAAAAGGCTGACAAATGAAAACCGTTCTTCCTCATGTCTATGCAATTGTTAGATCCCTAGGGGTTATGCAAAGTTTCCTACCCTTTTGTTACACTGAGGTAGAAAGTCAGCACCTATTTTCCATTTGTACTTCAGAGCCACTTCTGCAGCACTGAATGTTAAATTACAGGTGCGTAACACAAAATGAATTCCCTGAAACCGCTGCAGGGCTAGTAAACAGCTTTGTCTTCTTTTTAAACAGCACTCAAACAAGAAGTAGCAGAAGAGAAACAGCAGCAATCATGTACCCATCATGGACATTTTATAGCACACTTTTTAGAACCAGAGCAAACCAACCAAAAGAACTAGAATATAATTTTACTGTATATTCAACACAAGCGTTCACACCGCTGCTTTTAATTTCCTTGGGTGTAACATCACTTTAACATCTCACCTGACTGGTGTCAACAGGGGTGGGAATAAAGGAGGCCTGAGAGAGGAACTGGGTGGTTCCCAGCAGATCACGGACCCCATCGTGGTCCCTCTTGTACTCCTTCACAGGCTCTACATGCATCTTCTCTTTGGGCAACAGTGCTTCATAACACGGAGAGTAACCGGCAGGTGGCAAGAACTTGAAATCTCCATGGCGACCGCCCAGCAGGAACCGGACCCTGTGATGATGACAGTAAAAGGCAGTAAATAACTTCAGCTAACATCAGTCTACATCTCTGGCATTACATAATATCAGGCTTGCAGTAGAGACTTAAATGTTCTTCTTTGGTTATTTTTATTTTTTTATTTCATTGTTTACTGGTATGCTGTTGGGATAAAATGTAAGATAAAATATAACACATCACATAAATTTAAACCAAATATAACTTCGTTTGATAGGAAAACATTTTAAGAAATGGTTTCAGGTTTATTTTTCCCCTTTTGGTATGACCTGTTCTGTCTCATTAAGATAAAAATTAAGATACCAGGAAGCTGCAGCACAGTAACAAAATTACTTTAATTTGGTACTATGCCATTGGTTTTTGTGTGAACCTACAAAAGTTCATAAGGTGCAAATTCATCAAGAGCCTCAGCAAAAACACAATTATAAATGCAGAGCCTTACTTTACACCTGCAGAGAAGCTGACTACAGGGAAGAAGAACCCGTCTGTGTTGAAGTCCTCGAACATGCCCTGGACAGGCTGCCCGTTGATCCTGAAGGACATACTGGGAGCTCCCAAATCCAGACAGCAGCTGACCACATCGTCTGAGTTCAGCAAGTGCTGGTTAATGGAGGCCACGGCTCTTGGGATTCGGCCTAGACAACAGCGTGCAGAGACAGATAGGGAGGATGGATGGCTGTTACAGCTGCAAAGTCATTGCAAATGTAGGGCAGGATGATGGGCAAGGAGAAGAGAAGTGAGCAGAGAGGTTGGGAGTTGGGTGGTGAGTGCTTTAACAGGAATGTCATGAAATGGATGAGGGGAGGTGATGGGTCTTTTAGCAGATTTAGAAGGGAAGTGAGGTGAAATAGTTTTTATGCTGTTAGGCTGAGATTGGAAAAGAGAGGGACTAAGAGACTTATACCCCTGAAGCACCAAGAGGACAAAGATATGGACTCAAACTACTGACTGGTTCCTTCCTCTTATGCAGAAAGAAAAAATCAAAAACAAAACTGCAATCAGCTGGCGCTTTCCGTTTGAATGCAAACTGAATATGTACGGCATGCATATCAAAATCATTCAAGACGTTGCAAGGCTATTCAGAAGATGTAAAAGAGAAGTCTAACAGGTAGAGGTTGGAAAGTGGAATTTTTTATGTCAGTGTCCAAAAGATGAAAAAGCAAAGTAAAGAGGGGACAGCAGGCTCCTGCATTATTCACAAAAGGTTCTGTCAGGGCAAAGTCCTTCAATAACCCTTTTTTTAATTCTACAAACTTGGAGTTACCTAACTGCAGTAGTGCAGAGTAGCATGGAACAAATGTAAAAGTTTATATTATATAAAGACGAGATAACAGAGCAAGTTAAAAGCTACACTGTGCTTTTTCCAGCTTTCCAGGGCCATCAAATTTGCCTTTTTGCAGTAAGACTGTCTTTGACTGCGCATGGTTCCTAGTAATTACACGACACATGGACAGAATAAGGCCAATGGGCCAGAACCAGACCGCTAATCATCTCAGTCCGAACCACAAGATCTTAAAAGAAAAATGAAATAAACAAAATAACATGATTCAGACACAGATCTCTGAAGTTTCTCAATGTGATTGACTTCACTGAGTCTGTAGCATTACTTCATTGAATTCTAGTGCTGTTAGTTTCATTAGTGACTCTAGTGACAGGGAGTAGTGCAGGGGTAGGCAACTCCAGACCTCGAGTGCCGGTAATGAACTAATCATTTGATTCAGGTGTGTTGACCCAGAGTGACATCTAAAACTAGCAGGACACTGGCCCTCGAAGCCTGGAGTTGCCCACCCTGGTGTAGTGCCTACCAAAAAAAACTGCTTAAATGTAGACTCGTTAAAATGTTAATTTAAGTGGGGGTTTTTTATGTTTTCATGTAATACTTTCATTGTTGGAGGCAAGCTGTAAAAACATTACCTTGTAATTACTGTATCATTTCCTCTTAGTTTGATGTTTAGGGGAAAGGGGTTGGGGGAAAATATGTTGGGTAAATATAGAGTTTACAACTTATAAACTCTGTATTCAACACACCTTGTTTTGAACTGAGGACACAAGAGTCAGTCATGTGATATCTCTTTTATGGCATGTGTGATGTCTGAAAGAAGACACTGCCTAGCAGTTTCCAGGAAAAGAATAGAACCAGACAATGGAAACCCAATCAGTGATAATGGCTATCTGGTTACTCAATTTCACAGTTCCACAGACCTACACAACAACATCATTCTTGTTTTGGATTTATAGTTAACCACTGCACAGATTCAGCCTCTCTTCAGCTTCAGTATGATAGCTTTTCTGTCAGGAGGTCATCAGTTATCCAAGATGCACTGTTGGTTTTTGTCCATTATGACACACTACGTGAGATAAAAACCTTTTTTGTGCATACTGCCTATTTTCATTCTCAAACTGATGTGATACCTTGACTCACTATGAATCATCCAGATCAGTGCATAAACTGTTTGTTGTCAGGTAGATTAAACGTAGGATAAAAACAGCATTGAACCTTAAGATTGTATGCATCTAGACTAAATATACATTATCTCTATATTTTCTTACATACATGGGTTTTGAATTTCAACCACATATGAGATCTACCAGCAGTGAAATATTAAATTAAGATGCTCACCTGACCAGAGATGCAGTCCATCAAAGCTGTAAGAGTACAGGTCATCTCCAACACCATTGCCTCCCCACCCTTCTCCTCCACCAGGGTATGGAGCATATCCTTTAGTGTTGGCCCAGCCTACCCTCAGGTGGGTCGGCTCATTGGTTACAAAGTGGTCCACTTGGTCAATGACCAGCTCATAATACCACTTCTTATACTGAGCTGAACCTTCAGCTATGCCCAGGAAGATATTTGGTCTCATACTGGAAATGAAAACAGGGAAAGTCAACACTGGATTGAAATCGTCACTCCAAATTTCCACTCTTTAATCAGCTGTGTATACTGGGGCTACTGCATCCAGCAGCGGTGCAATACTCTAAATTCTCTACCTCTGAACATCATTGACCAATCGAGTCTGAAGCAGCAGGTCCCTATTGGGAAGGAGGTTGTCACAGATCAGATTCTGATTGGCTCTCACTGCCACTCCATTGCATACACAGAGGGAACAAAGGACATCCAGGATCTGACAGAGAAAAAGACACTTGTGTCAGACACTTTTTCCTTTTTGTGTGAAAATATGTCACACATCCACAGTGTGTCAGCGTTTCACATGCTCCGAGAGGAAATGATTAGTTATTCAGACAGATTTTCTGCAAGCTGTGATGCTTGGAGCACATTCACAGTGCGCAAGAGGGCCTTCAAGCAGAACTATCGTCCTCCACCTGCCATTCATGATCAGCAACTGCTGTTTACAAGAAAGCTCTTTGATGTCTTCTAACAAGTGACAGTGTAAATATTAGGAAACTGACATTTAAACACTGTATACACATCACTCGGCTGGAACAAATGAAACCATGATAAAGATTTAAGTACAGTTTTTAAAACCCAGTTTGACAGCTTGATTTTTCTTAACAGTTGTTGAGGCTTTATAATCCAATTAAATGTCTTTAGTGTTTAGTGTTTGTGTTTAAAAAAACCCAAAAAAAAAACAAAAAACAGAGCAACTGGCACCAAAGTTGATCCCCAATTTGGAAAAGACCACAACGAGGAAAGATGTCTTCCACCTCTGCCCGCAAAGGACCAACCAACAGCCAAAATGTGACAACGACTGAGCCAGTTGTGTTTTTGCACTGACACAGTGGAGTATTTTTCCTTAGCCGAGTGTTTTCATGATGCAAATTCGAACAGCATTTGTTGATTGCTCTGAGAAAAACCAGAGACAATGATTGTGTTGGCACTTCCGGATTGACCCATTAAAGAAGCGGTAGCTGTAGAAATATAAACTTGTCATGTAAAAACCTTATATAGGGGAAATCAAACCACACTTCTGCATTTTTAGTGGTGATTGATGATTCTATGTATGCATTGGCAATCCTAACTCAACTCTGACTTCAAGAAATCCTCTGCCAAGGCATAAAACCAAAGAAGTCTGTCTGTCTACCAGCAAGAGCATTGTGAAAACTGCCAAGGTGAATTGTCTATACTCCACGAGGAGCATGGACAAAGGAAGAACCTGTGAAATGTTTGGTGTGAAGCCAGGTTGTTTTCTCTAAAATAAGAAGATATGGCACTAGACTGGCATTGGCACAAAAAGCTCCTTTCTTGTACCTTTTCTAGTCTAATATTTCTGCTTACCTTGTGGTTGCGTCCATGCTTGTAGAGCAGAGAGACGATGGATTTAATGTGACCTTTCTGGATGATGTTCAGAGCTTCTGGGCTTTCTACCAAGATACAGTGGAGGACTTCCAGAATACCTATAGAGTTACACAAAATGTTTGTCATTTAACAAAAGAAACATTTAGACCACATCCCAACATTGATAGCTAGGGATGGGTACCGGTATCCGGTGCTATGATGGCACCGGTTCTGACACAAACGGTAGTAACCAGACCGAAAAGCAGTGCACATTTCGTGCTTTATTTCGGTGCTTTTTTCCTGAGATGTCATACACTTTGGATTCTAGCCAATCATTTTACCTTTCCGAGGATAGTAGGCGGGCCCAGGTACGTACGTTCTTTTAGAGCAGAGCTACAGATTAAAAACTGCCCAAGGCGAAGCGGTCAAAAGTCTGGCTGTACTTCACAGCAAAAGATGCAAACTCAGCAGCCTGCAACAAGTGCTTTAAGCTGATACTGTGCAAAGGAGGTAACACCTCGAATCTGATGAAACACCTGGCGACGCATAGCGTTTTTTTAAAAGCCTAGAAATGCGCCGTATTTGATAGCTTGCTGCAAGACCTCACACCTGCACATCTACTGCGGGTGTGGTGCCTGTTATCGGACCCGGAGTTAGCAACATGAACCCGAAGAGTAGAGTCCTGGCCCCTAGCCCTGCCAGTGTAGCAGAAATGATGACGGATGATGATGCAGCAGCAGCCGTTCTTCTCTGCGTGAGTAGCTTAATGTTGTTCGTGTGTAATTTACGTTGAGTAGGCTAACCACGTTATTACATTAATGCATGTAAGGTGAACTAGCAAACATCATCATAGCTACATGCGGCTGTCTTCTTGTTTGATGGCAGATACTCCCTTCACCCTGGCCAAAAAGGCTAAAATGCCCAAAGAAAAAGTGGAAAACAGCTGAGAGGTTTTAGGACAAGGTTTGTGTTTTTCCATTGTTTAAGCACTGCTTCCAGCCAAGAGTGATACCATATATGCCCTATAGCTGCAGAGAAGACCAACATTGTTATCTTTTTACAAAAAAAACAGCTAAACATGAGAGGTTTCAGGACAAAGTTTGTGTTCTTCATTCTTTAAGCACCGGTTCGAGCACCGTTTAAGCACCGGCACCGTTTCAAAAGTACCGGTTTGGCACCGGTATCGGATAAAACCTAAACGATACCCATCCCTATTGATAGCACATTTTTGTCCTTTGCGCCTATCAAAAATCTTTAATCGTTTTAGTTTTTTTTCCTCTCCTCAATTTTTCCACTGAAAGTTTCTCATCATACCTGATGAAGACTCCAGTCTTTCCAGTTTGCTGACCAACCAGTCCAATTTTCGGGAAAACTGGGTACAGTTGTTCCGGTTTCCACGAATCAGTGCAGCTTAACAAACAACAAAGATTTCAAAAATAAATTATTAATATTATAAAAGTGCATTCCAGCAGCAGAATATCAGGTGAGTGGATACTGCAAACAATTTGACTTTGACTAATGAATAAGCGTCAGGTTTTCCTGATATGACATATGTGCATATGAAAACTCATTAAATCTGAATAGAAAATACATGAGAAAAATTGTAAAGGCACTATTAAACCAAGACCTCTATCCCCCATAAAAAGTTGAGGTGTATTCTCTTGTACCATCCTCTACACCTGTGGGTGACATTAAGAAGCCTCTTTATCAATATACTGTCTCATTTCTCACCATTTAGATTCTGGGACAGCAGACGGATAATGTCTGTGAAACACTTTAACAGCCCTCTGTGCCAAAGGAATACTGATGGGTGTCTAATCTCCTTTAATTCTGCGCTCTCAGCCAAGCTATAGTTCAAAATGAACACATGGCTAGATCCACAGTTTGAGTCAAGGGCAAGGATATTCACTGTGACTGATGTGAATGTAAAATTCAAAGGTCAAAGACAGGCAGGAGAACCTGGGGCTGCAAAGACTACAGACTTTAAACCATGGTTACATAATCATACAGTGTATTAAGATATACTGTAATATTGCTAAGGCTTTAATGAAGACATCAATTTAAAGTGAAACGATTTGTCCCACTGAGTCCAAGAACAATTTTATCTCATTAAAGAAATAAATAACAAACAAGGAAAAAAGTAGATTGTTCAGTCAGAAAATAAATGTGACAAAGCAGCCATATTTATTTTATTAATGTGTTTATCCATTTTAATATTACTCAGTTTTTGCACACAGGACATTAGAATGTGTGCCTCCTTCAAGACATCTGGAGAGCTAATCACGAAGACTGCTTCAAGAGTAGAAAGCTGTGTTAAAGAATAAAAGCGGTCACACCAAATATTGCATTTCAAGCTCATTAGAATTGCACAAATTCTGTTTTTGCCCTAAATAATGTATTTCCACATATTTTTAGGCATGTTTCAATAAGCTGCTATACCCATTTCCCATTTCCTAGCAAAATATAAAAAAAAGAGGAGTGAATCAAGAAATGTGCATAATTACTGTACATCTTGCATCTTGTGTATTATAAATACCCACTAAAGTCTAGAATAATGCAAACCAGCCAATTAGAACATCGTTATTTCAGATGTTAGACTTACATCTGCATCTTGGAATGTAGCTTGGTGTAGACACACAGTAGAGGAGGTTGCACATCTATAACTCTAGGAAAACTGGGCAAACTTTACCTGCTTAATGAGTAATGTCTCCACACTAGTAAAAATCTCTACAACAGGTGGCCATTGTAAATAGTGGTGGGATGTTTTTATGTTTATCTTTAATACACAGCCTGACTTAACTTCTGGGGATCGTGACTTTTTAGGGCTTCCAGCCAGGATATCTGGGTAGCAGAAATGCATGCTAATTTAGCCTCAAATAAGCTAATTAAATTGACATTTTCATCAGATTACAGCTGATGACATGTAGACTTAATTTTTGCAAATGAAATCCCTCTCTTCATACGAGTTTGTAAAGATCATCAATAGTATAATACAGTGAGGCTCATGGAAAATTCCTGCTTGGGGTGATATTGATGTCCATAATCTCATCATTTAACAAGCACACTGCCTACTTGGACAGATAACAGACCAATAAGAGAGAGAAGGTCAGAACAAACAAGGCCCCGACACAATTCATCATGCAAAATCTGCTACGCCATCCTGCCTTCTGCATCCTTGAGGGTGACCTCTCTGTGGGGATGGCTAGAGTGTACTCAGAGGAGTGCATTTGTGGGTTTTGAGCACGTGTGTTTGTGTGTAATGTGAGGAAGTACATGTAGGGGAGGTGGTGATGATTACAAAGGCAGTCAAGGTGAGCCAAGTGGAAGCGGTTGATGGGAAAACTCCAATGACAGGAAAACAAAGTACCCAAGAGAAAGCGGTCTGAAATAAAACTTTTCAGGGTCAGAGCTTTAGCATTCATGGCTCAGTGTGAGGCCCCGAGAGAATCAGATAATGCCAACACCTGCGATGGCTGGCATTTTGTTAACGATGCCATTTTGCCTTCAAATATTCAGCTCGATGCTCTATGATTATATCTACACTGCTTTCAAAACACTTGTGACCTAAATGAAAGCGAAGGCAGACAGTAAGACTGCAGGAGGCACTGCGTTTACATCTAAATGTCATGTAAGTGCTGTGACCAGCTTTGAACTGCAAATGTTGAACAAACGAAGGAAGGAAGGAAGGAAGGAAGGAAGGAAGGAAGGAAGGAAAAGAATGGCATTAAGTGTCAATTAAATGATGCGACCAGCTGCTAACTCCAGATGTGGAGTGAGAATGTGAACAACAAAAAAAGTGAGGAAGTGAAGACAGAAGGGAGTAGAAAAAAGATAAAATAAAGAAGGTGGGAAGCGAAGGAAAGGAAGGAAAGAAATGAGGCATTAAGGATGATCTAAAAGCTACAATATGGAATACAGGAAATAAGGGGTGGGGGGTTAGTGAGATGAGAAACATGGAAGAGAAGGCAAATTCAGTCAATTGAGACACTGAAGGAAGATAAATACTACACGTCTACCCTGAACCAACAGCTGACAGTGTTTTAAAAAAAAAAAGAAGAAAAAAAAACAAACGATGTGGATATTTCATGTGATCCATCACTCAACTGTTTACCTAAGAGTTCATAAAGCAGGTTGAGAATGTCCTTCCACGCTGCGCCAGCTTCCTCCCCAGCCACCTCCCCGAAGTGGGCTGCACTGTCGTACAGGTTCATTCGATCAATGCATTTGGACAGAAGACTCAGCATACCCTGAGAAAAATAAAAGATATATACATAATTATTGTGTATTCTTTTACAAGAATTGATAATAACTGAATAGCAAGGAGCTAAACAAATACAGATGATGAAAGATTAATAGGGACTCATTAAAATACATTAAATTTATGTAACCAAAGTCGAAACATACATTCATTTAAGAACCTAAGGTTTTAACCACTTTTACCCCCCACACACACAAAAAAAAACAAAAAAAAAAAAAGAAACACACTTCCTGCATAGCATCATCTAAATGAGAAACATCAGTGTATGAGAGGTTTTCTTTTTGCATAGAAATTAATCACACCACCCACTCTCACCTCCTCTTTGAAGAGGTCCTGACGTTTGATGAGTGAACGGAGAAGACACTGCTTCTCTTCATGCTCCAGCTCAGAATCGGGCTGCTTAAAGTACTCAATCAAATCATTCAGTGTCTGTAGCACCTCTTCAACGTACCCGGCCACTGCTGTAGACTCTCCTGCTGCAATGCTGTCCAAAGCTCTGGGAGGAAAAAAAGGCAGAAAAGACAGAGAGGGTGGATCAATGTGTAACATTTTACAAAAATTTAGTGTGGAGTTTTTGCTAGAAGCAAAGAGGACCCTCCTATAATTACTTGATGAAGTTGGTAAAGAGGAACGTGGTGTTACGGATGATGCGTGCAGCCCGAGACTCCTCATGTTGACAGCGCTGGAGGATGAGCCCGTCATCCATGTGGCCCTCAGAATGTAGGCAGGCCTAGCAGGACAAACACAGATGTGAATATTAATTTTTTAAACTAGGATGCAACAAGATGCCAGTAACCTGCTGGAAACTTCTGTCCTGTCAGACTTTTGAAAACTAATCTGTGTAATATCTCAAATATTCTAAAATAAAACCTAAAATGAGCAGGTGTAAGAACGACAAGCATATATGTAATCACTTTGTGATGTGCCAGCCTTCTATGGCTAGTGAGTTTACAACACCAATGCTCAGTGAAATCTGACTTACTGTAATCAAGCAGCCTAATTAAAAAAAGACAGGGGGGTGGGGGGAGGATTTAAATGTAAACCCACCACCCGTCACCTCCAACACGTCTGGTGCTTTGGCATGCGGCCAAGGCTGCAAGGTCTGCCTGGCGCCAGCACGACGTGGTATTTGATGTCCCTGGACAAACGCCCGGCGATGAGCAGTGTTTATATGCCACCCTAATCCTTCTGTCTCACCCAAAACTAACTGTCACCCTCCACGTGGCCAATTATCACGTTTAAATGGGTTTCAGCCTCATGTGCACTCTCTGTGGGTCTGCAGAAAAGATGGGAGTGGAGTGTGGGTGACCACATCTGATGTATCCAAGGCTAACATTTTTAATGCATGCTCAATCATCCAGGTAAGGAAATCCCAAAAAAGATGATTCTGTTCATCTGGATGTCGTGTTTTCTATTTTGTCACTCATTCATATGACTTTTTCAGTCTCAGCTGACTGCAGGTTTCCCCAACCTTATAAACAGTACATTTGCATAATGACTGACACTAGCACCATTGACTAACAATGGGCTGTGGGGTCAGTTTCATGATCATAAATATGCATATTGTCATGACTAGTTGGGGAATGGCTCCAATCACAACACTGTAAGATGGTGAAAGATGTGTCCTCCTCGATGGCCTCCTTGACTCACCGCTCAAACCAGCGTTCCTCTCTGTCCATGATGTGTACCTGCTCATCATTGAAAGAGTCCACTGGCCTATAGGTGTAAATAGACTGCAGATTCCTAGCCTGATCAGTTAGCTCTTCTGGGTTGTGTCATCCGCAAACATTGTTTTCAGTTCCAAAAGAAAAACATTTGACCTGAGTTGGTTGGGTGTTTGGAAGGCCAGCCATATAGCCCACTGCTCTGACTGTGTGTTATTTGCGTATGCACTCATTGGCTTCGAGGAATGGCAGGCATTTATGGTCATGTTGTAAACAGATGACAGCTATATATGTTGCATATTTGTATCACTACAGTATGTGCTGTGCAATAAATTATTCGTAATTATTCCTGGAGCAGTTGTTTACTCATGCTAACCATAAAAAAAGAAAAAAACAACAACCCCAAAACAGGTGCTTATCCAACCATGCAAAGTGGACAACTGCAACAAACCCAGAGTTTTACAGTGGGGCAAAAAAGTATTTAGTCAGCCACCGATTGTGCAAGTTCCCCCACCTAAAATGATGACAGAGGTCAGTAATTTGCACCAGA